ATGGAAAATACACTAATAGTGATTCAGATCTAGGTTAAGGTGTGAGGCAGACAGAGCACCTGTCTGGAGAAGGGAGAGGAAGACGGCTTTGGCAGGAGGAGCGTGGCCTTTTGGGAGGCTACGTGACAGTTCCGGGAGTTGGGGAAGAGTCCTCAGGCTCGTGTCCTCCACCGGAGGAAGAAGTGGCCCTGTTGCGGCCACTGCCTGGGAGTGGCTTGTGGGGTCCTAGGATGTGCAACCTCACTGCAAGGTGGTGGCAGCGACTGGGACCTTCAGCAGGATTCCAAGTGAGCCCTTTTCATAGCCTCCCCAGACCTCTATCAAACTTTGAAAACAAGCGTCAAACCCCAAGATCATAAACCCCGGAGCCCTTTACAAGGGTCGGGAAAAGCATTCCTACTCGAAGCCTCAAAACCCTGAAGTATAAGCCACTAGGCAAAAGCAGTGCGTGTGATAACCCCAAAGTAAATGACTCTTTCCCTGTGACGTACACCGCAGATAGCTCCCAGGTGCACGATGGGTCGGGAGGAGACGCTCCAGATGTGGACAGCTGGCAAGGGACACGTTCACAGACTGCACAAGGCACACCCAGAAATCCAGCAGGAGCAGACAGCAATTCTACTGGGGGGGGGGGCGGTTGGAAGACAAGGACCAGCAGCTTCTAGAGAAACAAGACCTAGAAGAACACGAGGGAATCCCCTCCCCCCCATTGTGTGTGGAACCGGGGCAGGGAGAGAACCAAGGAACATCGTCATCTGTAACATTTATGTGAATTCCTCTTACCTGAATTAGAAATAGACACATACACATTGTGCAAAGAGCATACAGGCGAAAGGCTACATACAGCTTACATACATCAGAGTGGCCGCTGATGGGTGGGGAAGGAAGCAGACGGGGTGGGGGATGAGGATAAAAGGGGCGAACGCATGCGCAGAAACAAGCAGGCCCTCACCAAACCACTGAGGTGTTTGACTTGTTGCAGGCGGATTCGCTCCCCTAACATCTTTATGTGGAAGTGGCCACCTATGGGTCCTCAGGAGGACAGCATAGGGTCGTCACTGATGTCATTCTTTTGGATGAGATTAGATGGGAATAGATGTGTCCCCAGTTGGATACAACTTCTGTCCTAGAGAAGGAGAGGTTTGGGGCAGAGATCAGCGCTGCGAGAGAACCTGAGAGCAGAGAGGCTGACCAGTCTCCAGCCCAGGATCGCAGCTCCCAGAAGTTGGGTGAGAGGCCCGGAGCGGCCACCCTCATGTCTGGAGTGTAGCTTTTAGGGCTGAGGCAAGAGCACCTGTGTGGACTCGCCTAGCAGCGGCAGCAGAGGAGCATAACATGTGAAACTCACACGAACCAGGTGGCGAGCCCTCGTGCTCTCAGGGAGGGTCATGCCTCCCCTGCAAGCCACTTCCACTCTGTTTGCAGGACAGCTTCCTCAGTGCTCCCTCTTCCTCAGGGCCCCCTCTTGTCACCATTATTTTCTGCCTTTTTGAGACAGGGTCTCGCTATGCAGGTCAGGCTGGCCTGATGTTCACTTTGTAGCCCAGGCTGGTCTCGAGCTGGCAACGATCCTCCTGCCTCAGACTCCTGCCCCAGTGCTGGGATGACAGGCGTGCACCACCTCGCCCGGCTATGTTACCACTTCTATACCCTCGTCTGGGTGGCAGGACGCTTAGCAGCTGACCATGTGCTGTCCAGGGTGCTGAGGGCCCTGACCTGCATCCAACTCCTGCGACACTGCCTGACCTCTTCATACAACCTCAGCAGGCACGGAAGAGTGCGTGCTAAGCCAGCTTCATGCCCTCAGGCACGGCCCTCTCAGCGGTGCTTCCTGGAGTCCTGCATGCTTGAGGCCTTGGATCCTTCAGCGTCTGGCTGGCTCTGCTGAGGGAGGCCCACGCAGGTGTGCGTCCAGGTGTGCCGAGGTTTGGAGCGGCCAGGGTGTGTGCAGGCCACAGCAGCTGGGATCCTGGTGGGGGAGAATTCGAGGGAGAATTACCAAGGCAAGAGATTGATCAAAGGGAAGGTGATGGACCTGGGGGACATGACAGTGTTCCCTCCAGGTGTGAGGAGTAGGGGGAAGAAGCCATTTGTAGCACACAGAAGGAACCAGGTCACACACAGTGCAAGTTGGGGGTCATGGCCTGGTCAGGCAGGATGGCTCCTGCTCCCTTCTCTGACTCCATCTCTCTGTGATCAAATGCAATAGGAAGCCAGAGGGCCAGCTCAGGGCAGCAGCCAGGGGATCCAAACAGAGCAGGGTCCATGGGGAAGCTGCCTGTGTGCAGGGAGAGGAGACAAAGCCAGGCATGAAAACTGGAGGACACAGTGCTGGATGACAACTGGACAGACCAGGGCTGTGGAGGAGCCTGTGTGCCGCCGTTAGGAACCAGGTCTCCACTCTGACGCTCTGGCCACTGAAGACAGAAAGGCTTTTACACAGAGGCGGCTGGAAGCTGAAGCCAAAGAGTATTCAAATGGATGAACCCAGAGATTCCTCCCAAAGGCCCTTAAATTCAAGGCATCTGGAAGTCTTTCCATTTGTGAGAGACAGAAACCCACTGAAACCACCACTGATCGAACACCACTGCTTTGAGAAACTGGAAAACCAGCTGGTTTCCGGGACTCCAGAAACGCAGAAGAAACAACCTGCTTTTCTCTGTCTCCCTTCTTTACACCTTCTTTGCTGTGTGTTTCACTCAAGGCCTTGCTATGTGGTTCACGGTGGCCTTGAACTCTATCTATGGACCCCCAAAACTGGCCTTAAGCTGGCAGTGATCCTCCTGCCTCAGTTTCCTGAGTGCTGAGACTACAGGCGTGTGCCACTGCAGCCAGCACTCCCCTCCTTCCCTTCTGTGTTTGAGATCAAGCCCAGGGCCTCTCAAACACTAGGCACCAGCTCAACCACTGAACCAGGCCCCGCCACTCCATCTCTCTGTGGGGTGGCCACAGAGAAGAAAGAGGGGTGGCCCTCTCTTTCTTCTTCCAGCCAGACTTCTCACATAGAAAGTCAGCAATGCTTGACCCGGGCTCAACCAGAAAGCCCCTACCTCAGGAGGCTCCAACATAGTGTTAAGAGGGAGGTGGCCCGATCATAGTTAGTAAAAGACAAAAATCAACCCCCGAGAAGCAGAACAGGTCTAGGCAGCCCGCACTTTGAAAGGAACAGGACCCTTGCCTGGCCTTGTGGCCTCTACTCACAAGCCCCTGGTGGTCCATATTGAAATAACAATTCCCATTCTTCTTCCAGACACTGTATAAACAGCAAGATTGTGGTCATGGCACCCCAGGGAGCCAAGGAGCTCTATGTCTCACTGCTGCCTTCAAGGGAGGACACATTCCAGCAGGATGAAGTCACAGAGCCAAGAAGGAAGGGGTCAAGGGAGGGGGTTTCTGGGTCAGCACTCTGGGGCCAACCTTCCCGCTTCCCCCACTTCTCAGTAACCACAGCTCTCCCCACAACTCCAGGCTAAGAAATCCCTGGGCGCACTTGGATCCCCACGTCTGTGTGACTGCAGACTGGAATGGGTTCCCGTGGCACAGTCTGTGGGCTGGTGGAACTGGGAGAATCCAGTGCCTTCCATGGCCCCCTCTCAGTCACCATTTCCTGGTGGCCAATGCTTGGGCAGCCAGGGTTTAGCATTTGGTGGACCAGCGCCTGGCTGGGATGGACACAGAGAGCGAGTTCACAAATGTGACAGCAGCTGAACGAGGACCTGTGCAAGTTATACTTCGCGTCTCCCTGGAAACATCCCATTCAGGCAGCATTACTATCCCCTGTATGGGAGCGAGACCACTTTGGCTCGCTGGGTGGGTCTGACTGCAGAAACCTATATTCAAACTAGACTGAGCTAAGCCCCCTGCCTTCTCCCGCTTGGCTCAGAAGCCTCTCTGGCCCAAGACCTGTGGTTATAAGGCTGCACCCCCCTTCAAGGCCCCCAGAGGATTGGAGCTAGGCCGGAGAATCTCAGGCCGAGCTCCAGTCTGAGGACAGGGAACATTTTCATAACTCTAGCAATAGCACCAAGCTTCCCCTGGGCAATCCTTCGGGGTCTTCGGGGAATTCCCACAGCACCCTCCATGGCGGCTGCTCCTATGCCCGGCCCCAGGACCACAGGTGGCCTTGCACTGTGACCTGATTGGTTCCCACAACAAAACATGTTATTGCCAGAAGCCACTCAGCGTTTTCTCGCTGCTAGGCTCTTGCTCTCTGGGTTCTTTCTGTGTGCAGCCACCTCACCCATTTTAACTGCGACCCCTCATTTAAACCCAGTCTGATGCCCACTCCCTCAAAAGAATAAAAAGCCTCCCGATGCTGAAGTTGGATCTCATCTGGCTCCCTGATCCCTCTCCCGGGTTCCCAACTGAGTCTCACGCTAGGGGTCATCCAGCACCAGACCCCTGCCAAGTCTTCTCCCAGCATCTCCTCGATTCATGCCTTCGGTATTGTGCCCATTTCAGAGGATGAAAATGAGGCCTGCAAGCACTAGTCAGGGTTGGGACGCAGAAGCGCATGAGATGAAGCTGAGGGTCCTGACGCTAAAGCCGCCACCTCTCTTGGGGCTGTTTCCCCCACACTAAGTGTGATGGGTGGGTCACTCTGTGGTTCTCCCGGGAGTGGATTTCTGTAAAGGAGAGAGCTGTCTTGGCCCTTTTTCGGTCTGCTCCGCACAACTGCATCGCTCCCGAGCTCCCTCCCCAGGACGGCTCCAGAGAGCCCTCGCAGCACTCGGAGCACCAAGAGCTCAGGCGTCCAGGCGAGCGCGCTCCCGGCACACCCCGCCCGGGTCCGCTTGTTTACGCCGCGGCCCGGCGCGCACCCCGGCGCGCACCCCGGCACTCATCACGTGACCTCCCCGCCCCTCGGGCTCTCGCGTGGCTCCTCCCACCGCGCCGGTCCTTCTTTTCGCCTCCTTCGGAGTCACAAGATCTTTCAGCGGCCCCCTTTTTGGAATCCTTCCGCCGCGCCCGCCCCCCCAAAGAAATTTCCCTCGGTTGTTTTTTTTTGTTTTTCCTCAGCCAGTCCGCATCTCTCGTCATGCGAGGGACTGCCTGTTAACATCCGGCTAGGTCGCGCAGCTCGGTTTTCGCTGCTTAGATTCGCGGGGGCGGCGGCGCCCGGCGGGAGACTCTTTTTCATGGCGGAAGCTTTCGCGGACCGCGGACGCTTCACGACGGGGGGAGGGGCTGTGCGTCCAAGATGGCGGCGCCCTGTAGGCTGGAGGGACTGTGAGGTAAACAGCTGAGGGGGAGGAGACGGTGGGTGAGTATGGGGGTGTCGCCACCTCCTTTTCATGGGGGCTTCTCGGGGCAGGCGCAGCAGCGCGCCTGCAGCCTGGGAGGCCGCGGGGGGCTGAGGCGAGAGGCTTATTTGCTGGGTCGGGGATCTGGGCGAGGGGGTTTCGGAGGGCTTTTCTCGCCCTCTTATTAACGCGCTGGCTCCGGTAGGGCCCAGCGGGGGACTGGCGGGTCCCTCGGGAAGGGCGGCGGGCCGGGCCGGCACTGGGCCGCTCCTTTGTTGGCTGAGAGGACGGCGACACTCTCGGGCCTCGGCGCCCAGGGCAGGGGTGAGGGGAGCCCTGGCGACAACTCCTCCGTGCGTGGGGTGACAGGGTCAGGCGGGATGCGGAGAGCAGGGGAGAGATCCCCTGGCCGGGAGAGAGGGGCTGGGGGTGGGGCTGGCCCGGGGACCCGCGGAGAGGGGCAGGGTCGGGTTGCGGAGAATGAATGGAGGCTGCCTGCGGGCGTCGGGGACCTCTCTCGGTTCAGGGCTGACATCTGCACGATCGGGACGCTGGGCTCTGCACTTGTGGGTGTTTAATGGACGGGGAGACACAGTTATCTTCAAGTCCGTAGAGTTGATTCTTTAAGAGACGGCTGTTTGCAGAACCGCTTCTAGGTGCTCATTCATTCATTTGAGGAACTGGTGGACAGGGGACGGAGAGCCTGTGAGCCGAGACGCCTTTAGAAATCAAAGCGCTTTCTTTGTGTGGCCTTGTAAAGAATTTTTGCATCATTCGTGTGAATTTGGGGCAAAAGAGACTCGGGAGGGGGAAAATAGGGTCCTCCTAGAAACAGCAGCTGACAATTATGTGTGCCAGGCTTGCGAAGTGCTTTTGCAGATGACCATTTCTTTGGTCCTGGATAAAGGAAACCACAACCGCTGGTTAACACCTCCAGGCTTGTCAGATGAGGAAACCGAGGCAGGGACAAACTGGGGTAACTTGCCCGAGGTCCCCACCCCCCCAAGCTGAGCCAGCCCTAGAACTGAGGTCTGACTGCAAAGACCTGATTCCTCGTGTGTGTTACTTGACCAACGCTGGCCTAGCGTCCAGTGATTCGAATTAATCATTTGGTCAAGGTCTGTGTGTGTGTTTAGTTGGGGGGCCGCGCTTGGCCTATGTGCCTCCTGCTTTTGTTTCCAGTGTTGTGCCTGGAAACGTCTGAATTAGGCTGGAAAGTATTTGATGCCTTTATAAAATTGGTGAATTTACTGAAAAAAAAATTCTGCTAAAGTCCTTGCTGGACTTTTTTTGGACCCAGTAGCACTATCATTTTATAGAGAGATGGCTGTTAGAGTACTAAACTAGAGTAATATTCTTCTGAGATACTTTGATTTATAAGTTTGGGATCAACTTGCAGTTACCTGAATTCAAGCAGGCTGGGAAAATGGAGTGGTAAATTTTAGGAAGCTTTATACAACCTAATCTCCCAAGAGCCTTTGATTTACTGAGCAACCACCTGTGATTCTCAACTTATGCATTCCTGAATAAACCTGGAATATGCAAATGGGAGCACTGATTTAGGGTTTTGTAGGGAAATGTGCTTTAACAGTCATGCATCAGGCAAATGAGGCGCCTCAGAAACAGTGAAGCGATCTTTGCTGTTACCCAGGGGAGCTGCAGAATCTTCCTCTAACCACCTTGTGTAAACTTAAGGGGTATTTATAGAGGCCATAAATGGAGAATATCCTCTTAATAAAGTTAATATCTTATCCAAAACACTCTCACCATTGCATGCCTAAAAGGGCAGATGATGTAAGTTTTCTTTGCTCCATGCGTTTTATGGTGTCAGAAGCACTTGGTATGTTTCTAAATTCCTCACTGGAGAGAAGGAGACTTGCTTGCTTGTTTTCATGCAAGGGAGTATACATAACCCTGTGCCTCAGTTGTGCTCTTTCCAACTGCATATAGAACAAAAATGTCTGCTAGCTGTACCCATGTGCTGTAATACGACACTTTCTGTGCACGCTTGGATGAAAGGGAGCAGTCTTGGTGGTGCATATCTAATGTAGCTGTTTATATAATGTTTAAAGAATGATACGATTGCCAGAAACAAGGGACCCCAAACTGGAGCATTCATGAGGACCTCCCGCACAGCGACCTATATACTCAGTGTTTGAGTTCACCCTTTCCCTATAGATGTATTTTAGGGAAGCTTGATTTCTGAAGTACACAGGATGGGGACCAATGGCCTTAAGTTCAATTTGGCTGTTTTCTTGCAATTTATAGTTTATTCCAGAGGCATTGCAGACAATAGCTTCTGCCCTCTGATGTGGGGAGTGATGATGGGTGGGTTTGGGCGCAGAGCTGGAGCTGAACTGACCTTACAGAGTTTTGCCTTTCGCTGAAGTTGTAAAGCAGACAGGTGTGTTCATTTCTGCCCTCCCCCAGTGCCATAATGAACTAAAATTAGTTTCACCTGGAATTAATTGGCTATTCTTAAATACCAGTGAGCCAAATACAGCAATGCATTAACCATTTCAAGCTCTGTAAAAGGCACAAAAGCTTTTGACCTTTAACATGTCACTTAAATTTCCTCCACCTGGTTTCTTCATCTTTAAGAGAGTTGGGTTATACACTAACTGGCCCCAGAGCCAGTTGTGGTGGCTCACATCTGTAATCCCAGCACTTGGGAGGCTGGGGATCTTCTCGAGTTCGAGAACAGCCTAGGCTACAAAGTGAGCTGAAGGCCAGCCTGAACTGCATAGAGAGACCCTGTCTCAAAAAGACAAAAAAAAAAAAAAAAAAAAAAAACCTAAGGGGCCCCTCCTACCCCACATCAGGGAATCAAACCTGGATGCTTTCACTGAACATCTCCAGCCTTTTTTATGTTTTGGTTTTATTTTATTTTGGGGACAAAGCGGGGGACAGGTTCTCACTAAATTGTCCAGCATGTGCTTGAACTTGCAATCTGCCTGTCTCAGCCTCCTAGAGTGGTAGGATTACAGGTGTATGCAACCTCACTAGCTAGGCGTATTTTTAAGTCTAAATTTTTATAATTTAAAGTACTCCTGGGCTTCTTAACTAAATCTTTTGGCTCAGAATGTTAATGGTTTTATAGTAATCGAGTGAGTGGGTGACTTTCAGCATGCTTGGCCTTCCTTTTAAATCACAATTTTGTTAGATAATTCCCCATCACTGCTGCATTTTTATGTAGATATCACTGAAAGAGTAGTTTTATATGTATTAGTTTTGTTTGTCATGTAAGAAGCTGCAGTCTTGAAAGATGTCTCACCAGCACTCAAATTGTAGTGTGCTTTTATATGTGTATGTAAATATATTCATTTTTTTAAACCTCATCATCCATTAATAAGTTTGGTTTGTGTGAAATACTCATTTTTTTCCATATAAAGTGGTCTGAAAGAGGTCTCACACTAGCCACATGAGATTATTTTTTCTCCAATTCATTTTTAAGCCTTTAGTTGCTAAAATTTAGTAGTTCTGTCTGTTCTAATGGGGAAGAGTAGACTCTAGGGTCTCAGAACTCATCTCCTTTTCCTCCCTTCTCTTGTGGTTGCTAACTTGTTGCGTGTTGGAAAACAGCAGGGGTAAGGAATACTTGTTTCAGGTTGAATGTGTTCAGATGTTTTAAAAGAGTCGTATGCTTTAAAAACCCAGCTGCGACCCCAACAAGGCCTGCAGGTCACAGGTCACTTAGGAAACATAAAGCAGTAAAGGCCTCGAGGTGTTGCAGTAATGGGACAGCAGCCTTGCCTAGTTGCTGGTTGATTGACAGAAAGCACCGGAGGGAGTGACAGGAAGAACAGGTGTGGTCCCCTTCCCGTCCCTAGGATTGTGTCCCTAGAATTGTGCTCTTTCCGTCTTCCGGAGCCCGGCGACAGTCCTGGAAGAGCACCTGCTGGAAGTTGTAGAATGTTTGTCTGTTTCACGTGCCAGCTGTGCCGTGGGCAGTGCCGGGCATTGCATGCTCACAGTGCGTTCTCCTTAGTGCCAGGGCTGCTATGGCAGCTTGCACTGAGTGCTGACCTAAGTGCCAGGCACTGTGCTAAGTATTTTGCACATTGAATCCTGTCTACTCCTCCTGCAGCCTTAAGGAGCAGGATAGGAAAGGACACCGAGGCTCAGGGACCTGAAATAAGTCGCCCAAGGTGGCTCATTCAGTGGGTGAGCCAGGATGTGAACTGGGGTTGACTCTGGAACCCAAACATTTAATTTTGCACTGTGATAAACCGGCTTATCAGCCAGTTTCCTAAATTAACTCACAGGCCAGAGGGTTTTAACTTTTCGGGGGACCTGAGTTCCCCTTTAAAATCTGTGAGATTCTGGGTACCAGTGTCCCTTTCTCTACCTGTTAACCTTCCATCACCACCAAAACGTGGGTACAGATAGAAATTCTGGATATAGTTTCAGGGACTTCATGGACCAGTTTAAAGGCCATCAATCATTTTAGATGGATTGCTGTTCTCAAAATTGGACTTCAGTTTTATTAAAAACACTTTTTAAAAGATAAACCCATGGGTCGGAAAGGCCCACGTGTTTTCAAGGTGGACTTATGTACTGTTTGTGTCACAAATCGTTCTATTAAACCTTTGCATTGGAAGATTATCCTTTACTGGAAATGCAACCTCAGGTGCCACATTAAAAACATCTAGAACGAAAGGACACTGATGTGTCACCTGCTGAGTTCTTGCCAGGCTTGGCATTCAGTTTGCTACCACCTTCAGGACCTGGCAGAATTTCATTAGGTTTTTCCAAGGTTTGTCTGTTTTGTTTTTTCCCTTTTGTGCCTCACACCAGATATGAATGAATATTTCCTGCCTTTCTCCCTCTTCTTAGACCATGGTTCTTAACCTTGGCTGGGCATCAGAATCAAAGGCCCCAGTTTTTCCATTCAGCCATCTCCAGGAAAGTCCAAGAGTTTACATTTGTAAGAATTCCTGGTCACTGATGTTGCTGTCCTGGGGATGCAAGGACCACCTCTTGAGCTGTTGTTCCACCAGCTTTCTACCCTAGAGTATTTCTGTTTGGGGCCTAGAAACTTAAAACTTACAGAAATCTGGTTTGGTCATTTTTCTCTTTGGGGAGGTCTGTATGGTGACTTTCTGAAACATACATGGTATCTGTTTGACTTGTATTGTCTTGGTAAATAATTTTGCCCTTGTTAATAAAAAAGCCAAAACAGGAGCATGATTTGTAGAAGAGACACACTTTACCAAAATCAAGCCCTGACCCTGCGTGCGTGGTGCTGGAGGACTTGGCACCTTTGGAATGGGATGCGCGCTCTGGTGGACTGTCAGCCAAGGCCCCCAAGGGCGCCAATGTCAGTGCAGAACAACGGGAGGAGTCGGAGAAGTGCTCTTGCCCCAGCCTGTGTGACTGGGAGCATGGGAAAGCACGTCTTGGCAGCTCTGGCCCCCAGCTGCTCTCCCTGGGCATATGGTCTCCTACCCCTTTTCACTTCTCTGTGTATTCATAGGAAGAGAGAATTGGAGCGAGTGTCTTACTCCTTTTAGATGCATTTGTGCTGAAGATAACTTGATTCACTTGATAGAGTATTATTCTAAGAAATCACCTGAGAATTCTTGAGCTGAATAGTAATGTAGCACAGTAAGATTTCTGCTTTATCTAGACTGTACCTGATAATGAAGTAGTCCATCAGTGCCTGGACCTGTGTCTGAACACTGGTTTGTTTTTGTTTTGAGTCATGGTCTTGCTATGTAGTTCAGTCTGGCTTCAAACTCATAATGGTCCTCCTGCCTCAGCCTCCTGAGTTCTGGGATCATAGGTATATACCACCGTACCTGGCTGATGTTTACATTATTTTGCAGTCGGTCTCACCATGTTTCCGTGGATTATTTAAGTGCTCCCCCTGCCTCGGCTTTCCAGTTGTCTGAGAGTGCCAACATAGCTGGTTTGGATTTTTGTACATAACAACTTCAATGTAGAACCAAGTTACAGCGAAGACACATCTGCCTTCACTCATACCCATTGTAGCGGCTGTATACAGAGTCATCTTGGCTGATTTGATATGCTGTTGTCTGTTTTCTGTGAGTTACAGCCTGGAGAAGGCCTACGGTCAGTGTCTAGACTGTCATCACAGCACTGATTTTCCGAAAGTATGAATAGTCAGCTGATAATTTTATTTAAAATACTTGATAAAGGCATTTTAGGCACCCACTGCTCCTGCAGTGTTTGGTAAACATGTGTTTAGTTCTTAAACTTCTTGAAGATCATGGCACATCTTGAGCAGGGCAAGGATTTGGGGAAAGCATGGTGCAGGTCCTGCTTAACCACAGCACTGCATGGCAGTTCTGCAGAGGTCCTATGTGGTTCCCAGGCGTGTGGGCTGCACACTGTAAACACCCAGAGATGAGCTGTGACAGTAAGTCAGAGATCTGGCTTCCTGTAATCCCAGTGCCCTGTCTCCCTTAGATCCACTCTGTTTCTGTTCAGAAACACTGCTTGGCCTAGTGCAGTGACAGTGTTGCTTGCAGATGAGAACACAGCTTTTGGGCCAGATATCAAAGAAGGAAAAGTCTTGGTTGGGCGGTTTTCCTTTCTTCGCTTGTGTTTGAAGATAAGGTGAACCTGCTGTTGCCATCTGTCCGTTTCTATCGGTGCCCCTCATGGCTGTTTGCTCCTCCCGCTGTGCTGATCTGAAGGTCGGGTACCTGAAAGGCAGGAGTTAAGTAAGTGAATCACTTCACCTGGTTTTGGTTTGTTTTTTGAGCAGACTGTTGGTAAGTAGTTGGGGCTAGCCTTGAAAACTCTGTGTAGCTCAGGCTGGCTTTGAGCTCACGGCAATCCTTCTGCCTCAGCCTTCCAAGTAATGAACATTTAGAAGTACAAATAACTGTATCTGTTTGACATATCTTGGAAAACTGATGCTGAGAGAGTCTCATTGTCCTTTTTTAGCAAAGTGCTGAAGTTTTAACATTGTTCAGTGGACAGAAACCACTGGTGATTTCCTGTGGGCAGTACCTTTGTCTTAAGACAGTGATGTTGGGTGTGCAGGCTACAAGATCCCATCTTGGGGTACCATCATCTCACCCTGGCCTTAGATACTCCTATTTTCAGGTAAAAGCTCAACTGGGATCAATTGCAAGAGAAAGCATGACTGCTTTAAGCTAAGTGTTATTATAAAAAAGTTTACAATATAAAAATGTTATAGTAAACTAATGTTAATTCTGAAGAAAATAAAACTTTAGTGAATTTAATGCAGCCTGTGCGTACAGTGTTTATAAAGTGAGAAAGTAAGGATAGATTATCTGAACTGGAGGACACATTTGTAATGAAGGAAAAACTTCTTAAAAATAACAAGGAAACAAGGAGTAAACAATACAAAGGCTAGAAGATGACAAGAGAATCTATGACTTAAGAATAAAGAATGTGAATGATGCCAGCTTAATCCTGCTTTTAGAGTTCTGAAGACATGGCCCCCTCTACCCAGCCCAGCACTGACCTGGTGAAGCGGGCGGCCAGGCAGTGGCTCTGGCTGCAGAGTTTGGCCCAAGACACTGCTCACACACTCGGAGGGCCGCTGAGGACCTCTGGTGTGGGTGCCCTGAATGTGTTCCTTGTGCTCTATGATCTGGAGCAAGAGGCTGTGTGAGAACTGCCCAATCTTGCTCACCTGGGACCGCAGCTGTGTGTTTCCAAGCTTGACCCTAGGAGCTGGGTGTAACCAGGTGCTTAGAGTGTATGCGCCCAGCTGCCTGCCATCTGTGCTTCCAGGAGGGGCTGTCAAAGGATGGGATGTACTCTTAGGGACCCCGCTGTGTTTTCAGGACCAAGACAGGCAGGGTACCCCAACCCAAAGACCTTTGTCCTTAGAATCTGTGATCAGGTAGTACCTAAACACTGTTTGAAGGCCTGCATTTTAAAAGCAAGACGGAATGTGTTTATGTATACTCATACTATGGGTGACTGGGTAATTTGGACAGAAGGGAATAAGGGGGAAGAAAATCTAGAAATGGCTGTTTGCAGACTTTATGCTTATCGTGTAGAAGCATTGGCCTTAGTGCTGCATGGAAGCAGAATTGGAAATATTGTCCCTGCTGAGCATTTGGCCAGCAAGTGTGGTCTCTGTGGCTGCTGGAGACAGAGGACCTAGTAAAGTGGGCCCTTCTCCCTGAGGCTTCCAGTGAGGGAGATGCACGTGTTCAGGGATGAGTTACACTTCTTAGCTGGGCAGTGATGAAGTGACACGGAGGGGTACAGGCCTCCGGGATCTGTTCAGGGTCTGACCCCGTGTGGGCCTGGAAGTGGGAGGGGAGAACAGGCCTAGGGCAGCATGCTATACAAAGACTTCAAGGACGGGGAGCTGGTTTAGGGGAGCAGTGTGGCGTCTCTCAGACACAGCTATGGCATGCAGAGACTGAAAGGGTCCTCAGGCAGGGCCACAGGGAAGGAGCAAGCCTGGCGCTGGGATGGCCCTGCTGGACTTACCCGTCCCCACCCAGCCTCTGGAGATTGAGCCTGTGCTCACTTGACCAGAAGGTGAGGTGGCCCAAGGTCAGACCTTAGAGACAAGATAAATTGCTCAAAGTGACACAGCTAAACAGGGGCAGAGGGTGGAGTTTGCCTCAGACCTTGTTCTAGAGCCCATTCCTTGATAACTGACAGCTAACAAAAGGCAGAGATCACAAGTTCAGCAAAACCTAATTTCAGTCACTGGGCATTGGGAAACGAGGCTAGGAGAGGCTCGTGCCTGCTGCACCCCCCTAGTGCCCCAGCCAGAGGGCTTGCCTCACTACCTTCTGGCACACAGTGAGTTTTAGTCTGTTGTGCGACTGTCATGTGCATGCCTACTTACGTGTGTGTTTCCCTGCAGGGACCATGAGAGACACCAGGTTGAGGACACTGGAAACTGAAGTTCCAGTTACCCCCGGAACAGGTAGGTACACTCTACTTGAAGTCCCATGGGCGGAGAAAGGCGGAGGGAACCTCCTTGCTGTAATGTTTCCCATGGCAGGGACTGAAGGTCTGCAGCTTCTCTGAAACGTCCAGACAGATGGGTGGAACTGCTGGCCCTGCTGCACAGTGTCCACGGCACTTCTTGTCTTCAGGGCCGTGCTTTTGGCGTGGCCCTTTCCCCTAGGGCTTGAAGGTCTTCCTTGGCTCACTGGCCAGTACCTGTGGACCTGTGATGCAGGTTGGTTACACGTGACAGCAAAGCCGTGTTCCCCCTGATTAAATTAGGGTGTGGGAACTAGGTAAGGTTCTCAGTCCTGCCTGGGTCTGGGTAGTCACTTGGGCTCCTACAAACAAAACCATCTGATGCTGGCCTCTGCCTGCTAACCTGCTCTGGATCGGGGCCTGGCATTCAGCTAATTTTTCCATCCGTCTTGGGTGAAGAACCCACACCCTAACCAGGAGTATTTACATCTTACTGTGCCTGTATTTATTAGCTGTTTCTGTTAGTGCGGGGGCTAAATTACATACTTTAGGAAGCTTTAGAGATTGAAAGACGCAGAGTCCCAGAATATAACCTTCATAAACATTGAGGCTTTGACATTTCATAGATTTGAATTTGGTCTCTGCGAACTGACTGAGCAGTGAGCTATCATTTTGAGTTTACCAGCAAGACTGCATGTGTGTAGAGCAGGTGTGCAGGGAAGGTGGGAGGCATTTGGTCTGCTGTCCATGTGTTCCAGCTGTTGTGTCATCTCCTGGCTCAGTGATAGTTTTTTATCCTCTGTGTTTCTTACCTGTGTCGGGGAAGTATAGAAGATAAGGTCAGAATTTTTGCCTTAAAGATCCATGTTGGTTCGTAAACAAAAAATACAGATCATAAATGATGTAGATGGTAAAAATATTGTTCTCATAAATGGAGGGAGGCTTTCTAAATTAGAGTTTTCATTTTTAAATTTTTTTTTTTTTTTTTTTTTGTCTTTTTCCTTTTTGTCAGTACCGGGGATTGAACTCACGACTGCCTGCTTGCAAGGCAGGCGCTTATGCCGCTGAGCTAAATCCCCAGCCCCCATTTTTAATTTTTTAATGTGTACTTTATCTCATCCCTTTTAGAAGTCCAGAGAATATGGACTTCTGGTCAAATGTTCAGATCATTGATGCTCAGTTGCATGTAAATTCCAGGATATAAAAATAAATCTCAAATTTTGCTAAGCATTTTCTGTGGTTAGATTGGGTTCTATTTTATTTATTTATTGTTTTGCTTTGAGACAGGGCCTTTCTATGTAGTTCAGGTTGCGCTGAATTTACTATTTAGCCCCAGGTTGACCTCAGACTCACAGGAGATCCTCCTGCCTCAGCCTGCTGAGTACTAGAATTGCAGGTATGTGCCACCATGCCCAGCTTTTGTTACATTTTAATAATCAGATTTTAAAACTGATTTTCCAGGGTTTTTTTCCAGTAAAAGTGCTTTGTGAACACTGTTAGCTGCTGGATTGTCCAGTGGTCACTGTGTTAGTTTGTGTGATTCTCTCTTTAGCTGGTACACCTAGTCCCATGGTCCACCAAAGCAGCATTAGGGAAGTTTGCAGTAGGTGGTTTTGTAGAAGCATCTTATACCTGAGATCTGTTTCCCCAGGCCCTCCAGATGCCTGCCTCTTAAGTACTCTGCCTTGCCGACATTTAGAGCAAAGGCCTTGGTGAGCTTTTGGTAAAAGGTTCACCTCCATAGACTCAAAACTGTAAGAAATTGCAGTGAAACATTTCTGTGAAGTCTATTTTGGAATTTGATGGGTGAATACAAAATGTAACCATTTCATTTTTTCCTTAACATTGATTACTTTGGGTCTTTACAATTCTCTTGTGTTATTATGGTTTTATTTTACTCAGACCCTCTACCCCATTCCACCCCACCCCGATGGCGATAGAACCCAGGGTCACATAGGTACTAAGCACAAGCTCTACTGGTAAGTTACACCCCTACTGTATTTTATTTGATTTAAATTTTGATTTTTGGGACAGGGTCTCACCATATAGTTCAGACCTGTCTTGAACTCAATATGTAGCCCAGGTTGGTCTTAAATTTGTGACAAACCTCCTGCCTCAGCCTCTTGAGGACTGAGGTTACAGGCCTGTGCCACCACGCCTAGCTAGCCTTTTTAATATTCTTTATGGTTGGTTTAAAGGATATTGTTTACTGGTTTATGAGTATTGTTTATTATAGTTATGGGTTTTTATGTATTTTATTCATACATAAATTGAAGAGAAACGGTTGACATCTTATTTTAAATTCATTCTCACAAAATGTAAAGGACTCCCAGATGTGACTTTTTCTGGAAAGACTGCAGTTTAAATGTAGTTCTTAAATGTTACTTTGTTTGTAATAAATACTGCAGAGCAGCTCTGCACAGGTTAGAACTAGAATGTTATTTAGTTTCTGTTACATAGTGCAGTTAAATTGTTACAAACACTAACCTGGAAGGCTGTGTAGCTAAATTACTTGAAACAGTTACATTAATATATTTAGTTATTTAAAGGGTTAGTTGTTTTGAACATAAAAATTACACAGTTAACTGACATTTTTACTTTCATAATACGCATTTTAGATTTAGCATGTTAGAATCCCAATTTATGAGTCACAGGACCTGAATATTCATCTAGAATGTTTTACCTCTCCTCAAAGCAAATTTTCAAAGGTTGACTTCCTGTTAGGTGTCCTAAATAATGTTCTTCCTCCACATTACTGATGCTTTGTAGACAGGTGCAACGGTAGCAACGTGAACATACAGTTACTGTGTGTATGCTGCGCGCATGTGCACACACACACACACACACACACACACGAGGTCCTGTGGTGGCAGAGGCCAGAGGTGCTGCTGAGTGAGCAGGTGACAGACAGTTCAGTCTGCAGACTCTCTGCAGACCCAGGCCAGAGCTGAACGTCAGGCATTGGCTGAGTCTAGAGACCGAAACAGAGTGCTAACACTGCTTTTCGTGCCTGTTGAGGTGCTGCATGTCCTCCGTGGTGTAACATGGTGGCCAGCTGGAGGGTGCGGACTCTGCTCGTGTGTCTTCATGCTTAGAGGGAGCTAGTGTTGAGAGAAGGTGTCTGAAACCTGCCCGTGCCACGCTTTTGATCAGGTGTTGGGGAGGCCCCTCGGGGATGGTGACTTTTTGGCCAGACCTAGAAGAGACAATCAGTCTGTAAGGATGCGTGAGAAGACCGTTCCAGGCATAGGGAACAGCCAGGGTGGCAGCCCTGGGTGGGGCCAGCTTCCCTGACTTTGAGAAGACAGGGCCAGAGGTGGGCAGTGAGGCGGCAGGAGGCTGAGGAGGAGCTATCTGGTGGATCCTGGGGGCCTCGCAGACCGCTCCTGAGTTTGCCTCTTAGTGAATCTTAAATGGGGGTGGGGCATACCGATTTCTGGGGTTCGTAGGCTCTGTGGTCCTTCGGTACCTGAGTTTAAGAGTGTGCCAGTGTGGCAGCGAGAGTGAGGAGCCCCTGCTGTCCGCTCCTGGAGGAAATTGCTGAGGGGTCAGCCTGGGTGGGTGCCAGGAGACACAAAGTGAGTGGGTTTGCTGGGGGCTAGAGTGTCACCTAAACATTTACTTTAGACCCATGACAGTCCTTTTTATTTCTTCTTTAAATTATTTGGGACTAGGAATATAGCTCAGTGGTATAGCACCTGCCTGGCAAGTGCAAGGTTGTGAGTTTGATCCCTAGTACCAACTGCCCCCAAAAAACAAACAAAAAACTTACTTATTTTTGAGACAAGGTCTCATTGGGTCAGGCTGTCCTTGAACTGATTTTGCGGCCTAAGCTGGCCCAGACTCATCAGCTTCCTGAACGCTGGGATTACCGGCATGCACCACCCAACTGGGAGTATGTCTTTCATGGAGACCCGGAAGGCTGGCAGAGCAGCAGGTTTTGGAATGGGAGTGTGTGGGTGTCGAAGGCCACAAGGTCTCCTTGATAGTGTCCTCTGTGCACTGACCTGCAGCCCACAGATACTAACAGATAAAGTGGAGTGTAGCTTAGTGTGCGGCACAGCAGTGCCTGTCCGCGCTCTTTCCTGTGGCGGGCTGCTGCTTTCATATCAGAGCTGTCACGGCCGTGCATGTAGCCCTTACCCCCACAGGCTGAAGGCGGGTTTCACGCGAGTCCGTCTCAGTCCCCGCCACCCGAGACCAGGCGGGCTGTTGCCTGCCCTCCGTGCGCATTCTGAGCTCTGGCCGCTCTTCTGCTGGCACCACTGTACATCTTACACTTGTCCTCCCTGCCGAGGACCTGGTGACCCTGAAGTCCTGGACCGAGGTTGAAGAGGGAGGGTGGTCAGTGTGAACAGGTCCCACAGCTGCGTAACTCCAAGGAGTACTTTTTAGGTGGCAGTGTCTTATGTGGAGAATCTCCTGAAGGCTGAGAGTTATGTATTTCCTGAGGATTACTAGCATGGTTACAAAGTAGAATTTTAGAAACACTGGGAAAAGTTATTGCCAAAAATACTACAATGTGTTTTTGGATACCATTTTAGTTTTGCTTTTATAAACAGTTTGGAAGGAGTAGGTGCCAGAAGCCAGACTTTGCACCTAAATTGCATTTATAAACTGAAAAGCAGGCTCTGTAGTCCAAACCGCTCAGCCCTGACCATTGCCCCGTGGGCGGGGTGGGCACCGTCTCTGTGTCAGACAGAGTTCCTGGGCTCCGGGCTGTGGGGCGGCTGTGTGTGGAGGCCGGGCCTCTCTATTACTGCCTTGCTAGACCGAAGGCAGGGAGGTGATGATTTATTGGAATATACACAAGCAAACATCTGTGGACTGGGTTCTTGCTCACTAATTGAGAACCATTTGTGATTTGCCTGGAGAGGAAATAGATTAGCTGGAGACACATAGTCTTGGAAAGCTGTCCTGAGAATGTGGCCAGAGCTTCACTAATTTTCCCTGTGATCCACTGTGGGAGTCAGGAGTGCCGTGCTGAGTGCTTTGCACCCTTGTCATCCCCACAGTGAGCATGCACCTGACAGGTGGCATTCATTTACAGGCTTAGTACAACTCGCGGTGCCATGCAGTTGGTTTCTGTTCTGATTTCATGTAGACTCTTACAGTTGTGACCCCACACTTCTGAGTCCTTTGAAACTGATTTCTGTTGGATTTACTTGTAAGATTTTATTTCCAAGTAGGATCCAGCAATTCCTAGTACGATTTGCTATCAAAAATGCATTTAAACATTTTAGATGATTTTTCTGACTCACAAATCTCTGACTCAGAAGCAGCTAAATTGGTGAACGCCACCAGGTGTAGTTCCATGAGAGCCCCGGGAGCTAGCACCTGGCAGTTCTTAGATCGCCACTAATTCTGTGTTTGCACAGAAGCATGCCTCTTTAGCTAGACTTCCCTTTAGCACGGTGTCTCTCAGAGAGCCTGCATGTCACCCATTGAAGAACCACATGGACTTCTTACTGAGGTATAGAGGCCATCCAGCAGGCCACAGCACTCTGGGAGGCTGAGGGAAGAGGGTGGCAAGTTTGAGCCTAGCCTAGGCAGCTTAGTACCTTAGGAAGACCCTATCTCAAAAGAAAATGCTGCAGATGTAGGTCAGTGCAAAGGCCCTGGGCTCAGTCTCAGTCCTAGGGGGAAAGGCCTGAGCCCCGAGTTGAGTTTTGGAGTGGACCCGGAAACTGTGTTTCTAACAGGAATTCCCAGTGACACTCTTGCATACTAAAGCTCAAGAACTACTTTAGCCAAGCAGGAGTGTGTTTTAACGTGGGGATAAGTGATATGCATAGTCACTGGCCCGAGACTTCACCGGGGCGAAGGGAAGGCCGACACCTTCTTAGCTCACAGCATTTTCTGTAGTGATCAGAGTCACAGGTCAGCTCACGTTGCACTCACAGGCTTTGGGCTTGGGAGTTAGCAGAACTAGATTCCGCGTGGACATCCCCCTGTTGTCTCTGGCTCGCTCTGTGATCCAGAGCAAAGGGCTGGCCCTTGGTTTGCCAACCTCCGTACACCACGGATGGCAGTGCAGACCACAAGGTGGTGCTGTAAGGGGGAGGCGCATTGACAGTCGGAGCGCCAGTCTTGTGAATGGTAGCTGTTATTTCCTGATTTAAACATACAGCTTTCGAGACCAAGGGGGGAAAATCATGGCTGTGCACAGTGACACCTGTGGGGTGAGCTGGGGCTGTACATACAGACCAGTCAGCTGCTGTACCGCTGAGAGGAGCTGATGGTCGCAAGGTTCGCTCTGCTGGCTCCCGTCCATGGCTGCTTCCTAAAGCCAGCAGCCTGTGGGGCGTGACAGATGTCTAAGAGGAAGAGTGTGTGCCCTGAACAACTCATCCCTGGGTCACACCAGTATTGGGACTTAGCGGATGGTGGGCTAGCCAGGTGTTCTAACTTTCAGACATTAGTGGGATTGTGATGAAGAAAATACACTTAGAGTTATTTTAATCAGTGGTTTGAAGCAAAAACACTCACTGGAACCCCAGGTTGAGGGGTAGAGTCAGAAGTAGGAGTAGAACTTGGTGCCGAGTGGCTGTGGTGACCGGTTTTAAATGGGGACAGCGTTGGAGTTTCCTCTCCCTTGCTTCATAAATAAATGGCATTGTTCCCATGCTGTGTCTTTGCCATCAGTTGTCCCCAGGTGTCTCACCGTGTTGCGTACATCCACTGGTCTGCCTTACAGGTTTATTTACTTACTGTGGGTGGGACAGGGCCCTGGGCCTTTGCACTGAGCTGCCCCACCTGAGCTCACACTCACAGCGCTCCTGCTGTATCCTCCCAGAGTGCAGGGAGTACAGGCCTGCGCCATCACGTTCGTTTGTTGTGTAGAGGAAGAGAGCCATTGACTGCACCATCGTCTTCCTATTACACAGTCTGGTAGTGGCCCTGATGAAGAGCTGGCGGAGCTTTTAATGCACGTCCTGGAGCCAGCACAGCACAGGGGCGAGAGAGGATGGCCCAGCCCACAAACGTTGGGGAACTGCTCTCCATGCTGGATTCGCCCACGCTGGGTGTGCGGAACGATGTGACAGCTGTCTTTAAAGAGAACCTCAACTCCGGTAAGCCTGGGAGAATTCTTTCAGCTTGTCTGCTCACGGGAAGAGACGGATCTAGAGCCAGCTAGAACCCTGCTGGCAAATGTTAGTGTCTGTCTTCTGAAGAGTATTTTAAACCACCAGGAGAGAGGACGTGTTGGGGGTTCACGCTGCATGTGTTTTAAACCTTTAGTTAAGGAAATAAATACACACAGAGGGCGGAGACTTACAGGGGACCCCATGAACCAGATTCAGAGTTTATGCCAGTTTTGTTTCATCCTGCCTCACTAGCTTTCTCCACAGAATTTATTTTTGTTAGTGGGGATTGAATTCAGGACCTCACGCCTACCAGGCAGGCACTTGTGCCACTGAGCTAAAACCCCAGCCACTCCACAGAATTTAAAGAAAAAATTCAGACATTATTTCAGACCTGTTATGATTGCTGGAAATCACTGTGGTTTTTAGTATGGAGAGTGGTCAGCCTCTCTCCAAAAAAGCGCGGTTTTAGGTGGAACCCCTGTTTTACTTTCCACATTTCCAGCTTAGTGACACAGTGTGAAAGACAGCGCTGTTAGCACGAGTATACGCTGGTGTTCAGTTGGTTTTAATTGCCGTGCAGTTAAAAGTTATTTGGCCACTTAGAATTGCCATCTCATCCTAGCCTCAGATGAGATATAGAGAAAAACTGGAGCACCCCAGTATCCTTTTGTGGGTGAGGGGTTCAGCTGAGCCTGTGGCGCTGCCGGGAGGTGTCTCACACTCTGCTAGTGAAGTGGAAGAGTGGGCTGGTGAGGGGCGATGCAGCAGGGAGAGTATGGGAGGACGCTTTCCACACTGCGGGCGCTCATCTCGGGAGTGGCTGGGCCGCGCTGGCAGGGGGATTTCCACTTTGTTCCTTTGCATTTATCTTTTTCAGTTAAGTTTATTGGTGCATGTTAGATGTACATGACAATCACGCTCACCCTGGAATTCTCACCTATACCTGGTAGAGCTGGATTTTTTGTTTTCCTGTCCCCGCCTCTCTTCAGCACGTCTGCCCCTCCTTAGTTACCGAAGCCCTGTTCCCATTTTTTCCTTTTTCTCTCACTTCCTTTCCTTTCTTCCTTCCCCGTCCCTGCTCCCCAGTTCCTCTTCCCATTTGAACTGTGCTTTGGGCCTTATGCTTTCCGGCTTTGCACTTTGGTACGCTGTTACATACCCTTCATCTGTAACAGTAGGCGTGGGTATTTTTACAGCTCAGAAGTGATGTGCATTTGTGTGTGTGTGGATGGCTAGGCGCGTGCACCAGGATTACTGTCCACCCTGAAGCTACTTGGGAGAAACATGATGCCATTGAAGCTTCGGGTAACATGTGATGGGGTGCTGGAGTTTGTCATGCGAGGGTAGTGCAGGGGGAGATAAGGGAGTGAACCACTCTTCTCTGCGTTTAGACCGAGGGCCTATGCTCGTGAACACGTTGGTGGACTATTACCTGGAAACCAGCTCCCAGCCGGTGTTGCACATCCTGACTACCTTGCAAGAGCCACACGACAAGGTAACTTCTGATGGGCAGTGGGCATCTGATACGCCCTGCAGGCGTCAGGTGATGGAGGATGTAGGCCTATCTCGGGGTTGTCCAGAGCTACTCCTGACTTCTGAGAGCCATGTGTAACACCTTGCCCACGTTACATGTAAGAAAACTTGCATTTCCAGCTGTGTTCAGAGGTTTTAAACAGTCTTGCTATTTAAAGAAATTTTCTGGTCCCAACACTATGAATTGCACAGTGATGTCTTGGCCCTTGGGCACCTCATCTTTAGGCCCACACTGAGTCAGCTTTTCAGACTTGTACCAGTGTGGGGAAATCCTTGTGTTCAGGTAGGTGACGTGAGTTCTGCCTCCTGGCACCAGACACCCACATGGCTCCTTTCTGTCCCCCTCATCTTTATTTTCGTTTGTGGTAACTGCAGCTGTGTGTAACTGCAGAGTGGTGTAACTGCAGCTAGCAAGTCTTGGGTGCATGTATTCAGGCACCTTCACTAGGGATTCAAGACCTTGCCACTGTGCCCCTTTTACAAAAAAATACTCTTTTCCCCTCTGTGCTCTGGGATAAATTGTAACTTGCGCTACTGCCTGATTTGTGTTGGGGCCAGAGCATGCACGCTGGGAAGGTGATGCGGTAAATGGCTTCCAGCAGGCTCCCTCACAGCTTCACATCTGGGTCAGTGGTTGTGGCACAAGTGGAGAGGCTGCGAGGGCGTGTGTGTGTCACATCCCCGCTCTCCACCTGCAGCTTGTGTGACGAGCGTCGTTTTTCATGAGCTGCACACTGGTGGTTCTCTTGGTGAAGCAGGACAGTCCTGTCTCGTCTGCTGGTACGGCTTTGAAAATCGATGTGAGGCTTTCTCCTGTTCTTTCACATTTTCAGCACCTTTTGGACAAAATCAATGAGTACGTGGGCAAAGCCGCCACCCGATTGTCCATCCTCTTGTTGCTGGGCCACGTCGTGAGGCGGCAGCCGTCATGGAAGCACAAGCTCTCTCAGGCGCCTCTTCTGCCTTCTCTGCTGAAATGTCTCAAGGTAAGAGGCGTCTGGGAGCCGGGCGGAAATGGTGCTAGAGTGACTCGGGGTATGAGAGCTGAGGCTAACTTTCAGCGTTCTGGCACTGGAAGAGTTTAATGTAAGTAGTCTAGAGTTAACGCTCTATGCTTCTCAGGTGTGTTGCCGCAACCGTGAGTGTCTTTTGCCTGAATGAGTAAGGTACAATTTCAGCCCGATGACTTCAGCAGTGTATGCTCCAAGTATCTCTGCTCTTATCACTGTCTTACCTTACAGCCATTAAAACTTACAGGTTCTTTTAGGAATTTCTCTTTCAGTGGAAAAACAGCCAAAGATCATTTTAAACATCCAGGGGTACATTACTTCCAGTGGCAGCAGTAGTGGAAGTTGCTGTTCATACAGGTCCTGCTGAGCCATTGTCAACTTTTGCGGGTACCAACTTGGGTGTATTTTTCTCACATAGTCAGAACTTGGTCTTGGCAGTGGCTTGCTGAAATCCTCAGAGGCATTTTGTCCATCTGTGTTAGTTCCTGGGCTTGTTTCCTCTGTGGCCTGTGCCTCACAGTGACATGACATGCTGGTAGTATTTGTTCCAGGGTGGCAGTCCCTTCAGTTCCTTTAATGCAGCACCATGAACATTGATTTTTGTGTCCTGCCAACAAGGGTAAACTCTTACTATCCCTAAGGTCCCAGGGAGTCACATTGGTTGGGTATCATAAAATCATGCATTTGATATAAAGAAAAAGCAGGGACAACAACACACACATGCAGACCAGGTCAGTTCTTTTTTTTTTGTTTGTTTGTTTGTTTTTTGTCTTTTTCTTTTTTATCAGTACCAGGCATTGAACTCACGACCACACTCTTGCAAGGCAGGTGCTTATGCCGCTGAGCTAAATCCCCAGCCCCACCAGGACGTTCTCACAGCTTCATGTTCTTTGAGCAAAGGAGAAGGTTGTTGAGGAGAGAATCCAGTTGTGAGGCATGAAGTTTAGTTCGGATTGCTAAACACCTCCATCTTTTCCCACAGGGTAAATGTGTTGACTGTCAGTGAGGGACCGCTGCCTAGGTCCTCAATTAGGACGGCAGGGAACTAGAGGAAGGTTGTCCTTGGTGCCGGGACGCATGTGCTGCCGTTACATATTCTCAGTATGTTCCTGCCACATGCCTACCACAGAAAAAGGCTTGGGGTTCAGGGTAAAACTTCAGTAAATTTGGAACTTTCAGATTCCTAGATTTCTTTTCTAGTCAGAATAATGGTTGCCATAGACTGCATGGTCTCTTAATTAATATTTTGTTTCTAAATCTCAATTCCAGTTGCTTGGCAAACAGCTGTGATTTAATTGTGGGCCTGGTGAGCGCTGTCGCTGGCTTGAGCTGGCCCATTACCCATTGGTGTCAGTCACCCTAACGCTGACTGATATCTGCAGCAGGAGTAGGGGCAGAAATTTATTCGCAGTTCTGCGCTGCTTTGAAAGTGAGTCGTCACTTGTTCTGCCACTGCAGCGCTTTCTGCAATTCCAGTTGTGTAGCATTCTTCAGGGAGGACAGCTCCATGATGAAGCGTCTGGGCCTCGCGTGCATGAGGACACCAGTAGTGGACACCAGCAGCAACAACAGCAACAGATTATGTCACAGAATTGTTTCCAATATGTAGTATTTTTAAAAATCAATATAACAAAACATGAATATCGTGGGACATGCTGAGGGAAAATGGCAGCTTCTGTGCTCTGTAAGAAACGACTTTCTGTGGCACTGTGCAAGTACTGTGGGCAGGGTCCTGTGGTTCAGGAACCGGAGTCTGCAGCCTGTGTTCAAGGCATCCTTCGTGGTGGCTGTGTGGGCTTCCTGCTCAAGCCCTCCAGGTTCACACGGGCCTGTGGCTCAGCGCCGGTCCTCCGAAGCCCGCGTCAGTGCTTTCCTCTCCCGTCGTTAGGAGCCAAGGACTGGAGTCACTGGGTCTGTCCTCTGTCAGTTTTTCAGGGCTTTACCCACCGCCCTGCACTGTGCTGACAGGTGTCTTTTGTCTGCATTTCCTCCCGCAGGTAGACACTGATGTTGTCGTGCTCACAACAGGCGTCTTGGTGTTGATCACCATGCTGCCGATGATCCCACAGTCCGGGAAGCAGCATCTGCTTGATTTCTTTGATATCTTTGGCCGTCTTTCATCATGGTGTCTGAAGAAACCAGGTACGGATTCCTCATATCTTTGGCAGGCTCCATGAGGGCAGCATGTGTGAAATCTGACGCTACAATGAGTGGTCACTGGGAAGATGAGGAAATCCCTGGATGTGTCCCCTTCAGGCACATACCAGTAGCATGGCTGTTGAGATGCTGTCCTTGTTCTGTTGGCTTACAGAGAAAGTGAGTAATAGAACATAAACCTTCCTGATTTTTAGTAAACTGAGACATGTCAGCCTGTGTAGTTGGGGAGATGGCTAAACCTGTGGAACATTTTATTTTACCCTAATGGTCTTTTGTGCCAGAATACAAACGCTGGCCCTGAGATCCTATTCATTATCACATAGAAGGGGAGGGAAAATGCAGCACGTACTCATCAAACTCCAGTTTCAGAGGCACTGGACTGACTTTTCTAGATCAGCAAGTAGGGGCTGGGGATTTAGCTCAGCGGCATAAGCGCCTGCCTTGCAAGCGTGTGGTCGTGAGTTCGATCCCTGGTACCGGTAAAAATACAAAAAAAAAGAAAGAAATAGATCAGCAAGTGGCACGATTCTATTAAGTGTTTCTGAAGCTGTAAGCTTAGGAAATTCAGAATCTTTTTGTAATGCCACCATAAAATAGTCAAATATGTTATGTGAAATATGTTAAGATCTGTGAGAGAAGCTGTGGTTTCCTGGCAGCATTAACCTTCCTCTGGGATAGCAGTTTATGTTGAAGGATCCTGGGGAAGGCAGTGTCCAGCATCCATTATGGCGGAGAATCTGGGGTTCCCACATGTCCAGGTTAGGGCTAGGTTAGTGCTTTGCCAGATCCCCCCCCCCCCCTGCAGTGTCAGCTACTTTCTGGATAACAGACCTTTTCTCTTCAGTTGTCAGTCTGCATTGTTGAGATTGCATCCCGTTTTAAAGGCTTTCACACGTTGGTTCCACAAACACGTGAACATTGCTTGTGCTGCGAGCACCATGTTAGGCACTGGTAACAGCGAGCTGAGCAGGGCGGGCCTGTCCTCAAGACAGATGTGCCGAACTGAGCAGCATGAGAGTAGTTAGAGACTGTAAGGAGAATGCCTGGCGTCATGAATGTAGTTCAGCACTGCGGAATGCTAGGCTCCACGGGGGCACGAGGGCCAAGGCCGTGGGCAGCGGCGGTGGATTTTAGGTGGAGGCCATGTGCTGTGCTCAGGCTCGCGTCTGCGAAGCCGCCCCGCAAGCTCTGGGCTGTCGAGCACATGGTAGCCTCCGTTTCCTTCCACAGGCCACGTGACGGAAATCTACCTTGTCCATCTCCATGCCAGTGTTTATGCCCTCTTCCATCGTCTTTATGGGATGTACCCCTGCAACTTCGTCTCCTTTCTGCGTTCTCACTACAGCATGAAGGAAAACCTGGAGACTTTTGAAGAAGTGGTCAAGGTAAGTTACATTGCTGGTTTATTTGATGCAGTATGTGGTGCGCTGTTGAGGTGGTCTGCATGTGTGGTGTCCGAGTTAAACAGTAGGGAGGATCACGCTGGAAGGATATCCAGCCTTCCTCTAAAGCCCCTGTTCGTCCTGAGACTGCTGTTGGCTGGCTTTCTGTCTTTAGGACGAACGCTTGCTATCCTGGGTATTTCATAGTGTGTGCTCTTTCATAACTAGCTTCTCTGGACACAGTGTTTAAGGTTTGTCCATGTTGTGATGTGATCAGCATTTCATTCCTTTTTATTGTCAGTAACGTGCCACTGTGGGGGTATGTCCCAAAGACTCACACCTATTATTTGTCAACCCTAACTCTTCTAGCCAATGATGGAGCATGTGCGAATTCACCCTGAATTAGTGACTGGATCCAAGGACCATGAACTGGACCCTCGAAGGTATAGGAACCGAATGAGTGACAAGGGTGGTAAGGGTCTCTTGAGAAAGTGGGACTGTGGTTTGGGAGGTGTCCCTGCAGAGGAATTGCTTGGGAATGTAAGCGTTCAGTTACAGAACGACTGCATTTGGAAGTGCTTGTGCAGCTGGAGCCTGTGGGAGTCCAGATGATGCCCTCGCAGTGGGAGGCTGGTAACTCCTTTGGCAGAGTGGGGAGGTGGCAGTGCGCTTCCTGACCCATGCCCTGGAAGGTGTGCTCCTTGGCAGTGCCAGGATGGTATGAAGTGCGTGCTGAGTGGGTGGGTTGCAGAAGGGCCATGTGTGGAGTGGCGGACCTCCCCAGTGCCTATCTCCCCCGCGTAGCGAGGCAGCTCCCCACATGCCCCGCTGTGGGCCCTTGCGGAGTTCCCAGGCCTGTTCTCTGGAAATGCCGACTGGGATGAGGCCCCGACTTGAGGACACCAGCCCTGGTGCCCCTGGAGCTGAGGTCCAGGTTGGAAAGGCGGGAAGTAAAGGAAATGGGACAAACTGAGCAACAAGCAGCCCTGATTTTCCCTGCTACTTCTCCTGAGAGGGCTGGAGCCCTGACAGATGGGGATCTCTGCAGTCCTCCCCACTCTGAAGGCTGGTGCTTGGCCTGTCTGTCCCCTTGTAGCCAGCTGCGCCTCAGCCAGGCAGCCTCAGCTACTGTGAGGTGAGGGGTGAGTAGAGAAGTGTGCACAGTATATCTGTAAAGCTGAACAATCACCACAGTGTGCAAGCAGCCCCAGTCTGAAAAACAACCTTCCTGTCACCTTGGGAGCCCCTCAGGACCCTTGCCTCCCTGGCCCCTTCTCAGCTCAGGGATGGCTGCTGCTCTTGCTTTTCTGGTACGTTTGTTTTTACAGATTCCTATGTGTATATGTTCTGCTTTGAAAAGCTGATTAGAAGCCGTCCTTGCTCAGGAAGGGCACCCTGTCACTGTTAGAGGCAGGGTCCCAGGATGGGGGCAGGACAGAAGTCTGAGTCTGAGTCTGCTTCGGTGCCCTTGAGAGGAGAGGAATCCCTCTGGCGGGGCATCACACAGGTCATGAGCAAGGCCAGGGGAGCCCAAGGCTTACCCGTCAGAGCGTCTGCCAAGGCCTCTGAGGAGGGCAGTGGCTGCTTGCAGCCCTTTGGGCTGGTCAGGCGGAACCCTTCCATGGGGTGAAGTGGGTGCTGATCCCATCGACCTTGCTGTGAAGACAGATGACCCCGACCAGGGTTGCCTGGCTCTGTTCCTTGGCTGCACAGATAGTGTGGGCAGCAGGAGCCTTGAGGACGGCCCGCCACAAGCACCTCTCTTGGCAAGCCTGCCCTGTGCCTGGACCCAGCTGTCAGCCACCTCTGCTGGAGCTTTGCCTGGACTCTCTCCTGGGCAGCATCTCCGTTTCCTGGACCTCGTGTCTTCTTCCTGGCGTCATTCTGGTTTTGGAGGGATCTGAAGGCTGGTGCCTTCACTCTGGTTTCTGTTTGGCAGGGGTTGACTGGCCTCACTGAAGAACTGCAAGCTCTGTTCTGCTGCCGTGTTTCAGCCCGTGTCACTGAGGACACCCAGAGGCGTTCTGAGATTGGGTCCTCTGTCTGCTGTTGTTTCTTTTACTGCAACATGTTGTTTCTTTTACTGCAACATGTAGAATGTTATTTGCTGCCGTGATATTTTGGGATTTTTTTCATGGTGTTCTTGGTGTGAGTCTGCTGTTACTCAGCCGAGAAGCTCTTAAATTCTAGGAAATCTTGAATTATTTTTGCTTGTTTTTCTTTCCTCTGGTTTTTTTTTTTGTCTTTCTGCCAGTACCTCTAGCATTGAGAGTAGAGCCTCCTTGCTTTCCCTTCCTCTCCTGCTTTTTCTTTCCGCATGCTTGTCTCACTTCCGGCAGACTTCTTTTCCTTTGGCTCTTTGTCCTTCGGTAGTAGTTGTCATTTCTACCATGTCTTTGGCATTTAAGAGATCTTTTGAGTTTTCAGACAGGCAGAACAGTCTCTTGTGTCTTTGGGTATGTTGACCTTTTTTTATTTTGTTTTCCCTGCATGGTTCATTTCTTCTAAGCCGCTTTCCTTTTTGTCTGGGTTTGTTCTTTTTAAATCTTTGCTTGTATACGTGCTGCTGAAGCCAGCACTGGTCATCTGCTTGTGTCCAGGGAGGGAGACTAATGGCTCTGTTCCATTTTTGCAGACCCGAGCCGCTGGGGGTGGTGCTAAGGTCGTTGTTTCCTTCTTGAGCCGGTCGGGTTTGTAGGAAAGAGTCTTCCGACTGGGCAGAAGGCAGGCAGTGAGGAAGGCCCAGAGGTCCTGGTGTTCTGACTGTGCGTGTCCACTCCCTCGTGTTTGGAAAGTGCCTGCCCGCCACTCTGGAGTCCCTCAGCCAGAAGCCCGCCTCACTCCCTCCTGAGAGTAGTCCCTGTCCGTGCTCCTGTTGAGGACAGCTTTTGCCTGGGAGCGTAGGTTGCAACGGGACCCCCGGCGTGCGATCGCCTCCGCCGTTAACCCTGGCTGCTCAAGTTCTAGTCCCCACCGGCTCAACACTGGCCTCAGGCCCGAAGCTTCGGGTGCTGTGACTGTTTGTGACTTGGCACCTTGGCTGCTGGGCTTCCGTGCCTTCAGCTCAGTCGGTCACTGCCTGCCTGTTGCTTTCCAGTTTCAAACACACGTGGTGCCCCCCTGTCCCCGCGGCGGGCTCACCCTTCAGGTGGCAGGATTTGGGATAAGGCAGGATTCTGGCCGACCTGCCTTACGCACTTGGGGCTGTCTCCATTGCTCACAGCCTCGTGCTCACTGCTGCCAGGCAGGGTCTGGCTGTGCGAGGAAGCCTGAGAGGAAGACAGCGGTGCGAAGAGGCAGCAGGAAGGCTGGGAACGCGGACGTGTGGAGGGTGAGAGGGCGCGAGAGGTTAGGAGAACAGAAATAGCACAGCGGTGCAGGAGGGCCAACATCTGGCTCAGAAAAGTTTGAAGGGAGAAACACTTTGGTGGAAGAAAGTTTAGAAGACAAAAAGACACTCCTGAGAGCTGAGAGGAGAGGCCTGCCTAAGGCACGGCTCTACCAGTGCAGATCAGCAGCGAGTCTCGGTGTTAGGAGTGTTCAGAATACCATAGAAGTAACCTTTCAGAGATAGACTTCAGATTCTATATCCAGGCCAAGTGTGTGCCTAAAAGCGTGCAACACTCTCAGGCAGGGACTCAGGTTTACCTCCTGTATGCACAGTAACCACAGGCGTGGGCTGTACCAAAATGGGGGTTAAAGGAAGGAGGAAGCACAGAGTCTGGGACACTGGGGACCTGAGTTAGGGTCACGGGTGAGCGAGTGTCAGGGTGACAGTAACACAGCAGCCTGTGGCCTGGGGAGGCCAGGCCCCCAAGAGGACAGAGCTCCAGAGGGACCCCACAGGTGGGGAGGGACTCGGCCTGGATGCGTTCTGCATTGCTTTGTGTGGAAACTGTATCAGCCGTTATTGCGGAGCTGCTGGCATGAGCTTAGGGAGAATTAACAGTACACAGAGCGCTGAGGAAAGACAGACGGAGGAGAACCCAGGGCAGCCCCGGTGAGAGGAAGCGGTACCGCCCTGGCTCAGCCCCGAGCAGCGCCTGCCTGCTCTGGGTAATTGCTGGAATTGACTTGGAACGCAACAGTAACAGGCGTGCGCTTTGGGGAGCTCGGCAGAGACCTCGGTCCGCTTGCTCTGAGAGGGAGTAAGTGGGGGAGGTCTGTAATTCATGAGCCAGGACTGAGACCTGGGAAGTGGGCTGTGTGGTCCCCGACAGCGTTGGAGGCCGGCTCGCAGCGGTCGCGCAGTGGCACTGTTCTCTCTAAACCACAGGCTTCTTGCGGCAGGCAGGAGATGTCTGTTTTACGTGCATTTCAGAGAAACAGCCAGATCAACTAATGCAACTGCTTAGACCACAGCCCCCAATTCCAGAGACCCTGCAGCCTGACAGTTTCTTGTGAGGTTTAGGGAGACACAGTGCACATGTTAAAACACTCAGAGGCAGTCCTCTCCCATGTGACTGTCACTCCCTTCCTGGAAACCAGTCCTCCTGTGTGTGCACTTCCTGCCTCCTGCTGCCACTGGGTCACCCTCCGTTGGTGCTGAGCCTGGGCACAGGAGCCAGCCATGACACATAGCAGCAGGAACAGCTGCAGAGCTGCGACCCAAAAGCTGAGGGCAAGGCTGCCTTCCCCACACCACTTTCAACTGGGAAGGCTTGGTGAGCCCAACAAACAAACAACAACAACAGAAAGAACCAGAGATTTGGTTCAGTGGCACAGTGCCTCCCTGGCGTTTGCAAGATCGTGTGTCTGGTCCCCAGTACCAGAAGTCCCACGAGACTTGATGAGCATTCTCAACAGTGGCACATTTCATTGGCCACCCAATGGGGAAGCACCCCCAGTGTTGCTGTGCTCCTGTAAACTTTGGGACAGAAGATGAGAGCCCTGGAGAGCGTTAGTGAGGCCGTAGGACATAGACAGGAAGCCGTGCTGGAGTCTGTGAAGCCGAGTTTGAAAGGAGCAATAGCCGGGAAGCACTTGTGGGAGCATCACTAGAAAGAAGGGCACCCTGGAGGGGGTTCGTAGTTTAAATGTCCTGTTCAGTGCTGGGGCCTTTGGGGAACATTTGACAAGTCCCAGAGAGTCAAAAGAAGCCAGTGAAGATTGTCCCTGGCTCCTGGCTCTTGTCCGACTTGGACATGGTGTGAACCCAGGGCCTTGCCCACGCCAAGCAGGTGCTCTGCCCCTGAGCCACTGGCGCTTCAGTTTGAACACAGTGCTGCCAGCTCATGTGAGCATGTCTCCGAAGAGTTTGCATCTTTTTTTAAATTTATGATTATCCTCTACACATTTTACATTTTTCAGTATTTTTAAGTTCATGGTATTTTTTAAAAATCAATTGGTACAGCATGTAATTTACAGAGAATAAAACTAACCAGTGTGGCTAAGTTATGGCAAAACTCGTAGTGGACCCAATGAAGAGTGTGTCCAGTGCCCCAGAGTTCCTTCCCCTGCCCCATGTCAGCCCCAGCGAGTGCTGGAACCTGCAGGCACTGCTGCTGGGGCGTCTTGCTCTGCCTCTGCTCTTTGGCTGTTTCCTGCTCCTCCCCAGGCCGTGCTGCCCTGTGCTGTAGGGCTGAGTATCATGATGTATGTTTTCTGTAGAGGAGCTCGCTGGAGGTGGAACTGTGACTCGCACAGCAGAAGGCTCTAAGCAGTTCTTTCCGTGATCGATGGTCTGTGTCGGCACCAATCCTGGTCTGCAGCTGGATTAGACAGGGACCTCGGTCAGCGTCATCCACCTGCTGCTGTCCAGGGCTCCCTGTGCCTTGGTCACCTTGGTTCCAAGGAGATTTGCCCTCGGTGGCTGCTCTGCAGTTCGTTATACTGAGGCTGTGCCTAGCCTTCATGGATGGGATGTTTTCTTCCCGTTAGTTTCTGAGAACTTGATTCAGCCATTGAAGCAGGGAATGTGGGGCCAGGGGTATGGCTCAGCAGCACAGTGCCTCCTGGGGCGGTGCGAGGCCCTGCGTTTGACTCTGGTACTGAAAAACATTAAGCATGGTACAGGTTTCAGGGTGAGAGGTCAGCACTGGGGCTGTTGTAGGCCCTGGGTCCAGGCCTGACCCAGAGCAAGCCGTCCTGAGTGTGCGATGGGATTAAGTGAATTTCCGTGAAATTTTAAGTGAATTTTTCTTGACTTTGATTGCCTTTTCCAGGTGGAAGAAATTAGATACTCATGATGTTGTCATAGAATGTGCCAAAATCTCTCTGGACCCTACAGAAGCCTCCTATGAAGACGGCTACTCGGTGTGCCATCAGCTGTCCACCCGCTTCCCTCACCGCCCCGCAGATGCCACCTCCAGCCCTTACGTCGACACACAGAACAGCTGTGGTGAGAAGTGGCTGTGGTGCTCCCCGCTCTTGCACCTGTGTCTCCAGAAGACGTTGCTCATCTCTGTTGGCGTAATGTCCTTTTCCTAGAGCAGGGCCTAGTTTACTTCCTGTGAACCTTGCCCAAATATTTTAAGTTTGAATTTGCCTCCATTTTCTTCTGATGGTTTTCTCCTGCAAGTTTAATTGTCCTTGACCTGGATAGTGTGTGTGCTGACCTGGCCACACGTCCTCAGCATCTGATAAGGAAAGGCTCCAGAGGGCAGGCCCCATCTGAGGACACCTGTACTCAGGCAGGCAGCGAACCACCCGCTGGGCTGGCGGTTCAGAGCCAGGCTCCTGCGCAGTCCAGGCTGTCCCTGTGGCCCGACCCACTGACGCCTTGGGTCGGGCCTTCAGGTGATCAGGTGACCGGTGACAGACCCCCCCTGAACTTCCGCTGCCAAAGGGCGCTTAGCAAGCCTTTTCTGAATGCTGCTGCTTCAGGCCCAAGGCAGAGGAGAGCCCCTCAGACTAAGGGTGCAGGAGATGGAGTGGTGTAGGGTGGCCCCCAGGCCATCACTGTTTGTCAGAGTGTCCTGAGCCGGCTCTGACGGCTGTGTCCCTCCCTCCCTTTCAGGGAATGCTACTTCCACCCCTTGCTCCGCCTGCCGGCCGACGCTCTTCAGCACACCAGGGCAGCTAGCGCCGGGGCTGAGTCTCCCGTCCACACAGCCGTTACCTGAGCCGCCACAAGTATGTGTCTGACAGCCCTGCCTCGGGCGACCTAGTGTGCGCTGGGAGAGTTTCACACTGCGAGTTGCAGGGCCCTTTTAAGGATAATTGTCACAAGCAGAGAAATTCACTTTGCCACTTGGGCCATCTTGGAGTCGAGACGTACAAAATGTAATTTGCCTTTTAAAAAAGCTTTGGCAAGGTGTGTTTTAAAGTTGAAAAGGTTAGATTTAAACAGTATTAGATATAAACCTTGTGGAGGAAACAGTATTAATTTGTATTGCTGATGGACTTTATTTTACTTCCCAGCCTGTTCTTTGGAGCCCATCTGTGGTTTGTGGTATGACCACTCCCCCAACATCTCCTGGAAATGTCCCACCTGATCTGTCACACCCATATAGTAAAGTCTTCGGCACAACTGGTATGTCTGTCTTAGATTTCATGGTTGGTTTGGGCCTGCATTTCATGTTAGAAGGAACTGTCTCTTAGATCTCAGAGTGAGTTTGGGGGCCACTCGCATTACTGAGCTTGTTTTTGACACTTAATGCAAGCTTTTGGGGTCTTCAGAATGAGTAAGGTAGGCATTAAGGGGAGAAAAAAAAAGAGAGAGAGAGGTCTGGGTCCTCGGCAGATTAACTCCAAAGCCTTATTTGCAGGAAGGCTGAGGCAGAGCTGGTGGTTTTTCTGACAGCTGGGCTCAGTTGACCTCGTATTTTGCCCCGTCTCTGGCAGGTGGCAAGGGGACTCCCCTGGGCACCCCCGCAACGTCTCCCCCCCCAGCCCCGCTCTGCCATCCAGATGACTACATGCACATCTCACTCCCCCAGGTCTCAGCCATACCCCACCGGAAGGTAAGTCCCAGCAGGTGCTCATCTTCCACCTGAGTGTGTGACTGGCTGGCAGGCTCACTTTGCGCAGCCCTTACACCAGGGAGACCTGGACCCAAAAAGCGATGCGTGTGACTCAGAGTGGTGCCCTGGCTGCTGGGTGCGCTCCCTGGGGCCTGGAGGCCTGTGCAGCTGGCAGCTCGGCCACGCCTGCTTCACTGTGAGCTGCCTGGCCTCCACGTTGGCATTTTCACTGCTGCTGCAGAAACCTGGGTGGGTGAGATGGTGGCCACAGCACAGGCCAGTGCAGGTGCCACACCACCCTGCTGGTCATGGCATTCTCCCTTTGGAACGGGGGAAAGCTGGGTGTGGTACTGTGACACCAGGCCAGTAGGCTCAGCCTAAGGAGGCTGGGGCAGGAGGACCACAAACTCGAGGGCAGTGTGAGTTACCCAGTGGGTTCATGGCTGGCCTGGGCTACGTAGTAGGCCTTGTCTCAGAATAAATACATACATACAAGAAAGAAGGCAAAAAGTCTCTGTATATGCTGTGTTAAGCAGTAGAAAGTATTTTGTTAAATCTGGGCCCTTCAGAATATGTGCATTTAATATTCTTTGTGACAAAACAGGAAATATGTAAGTAATGTTTATTGGGTATCAAGGAACGGCGGTAGCTTCAGGCCCAGGTGTAATTATTTGAATTGGAACTAAACTAGTTCCTTTCTTTCATGGGGCACCAATTTTATTTGAATGAAGAGGTGACTGGCACACTTGGGTCCTTGGCAGGCATTTTCACTGTTTTGGCTTGGTTTTTTGGGAAGACAAAGTCTCACCAAGTAGCTCAGGCTGGCCTTGAACTCGTTGTGTCGCTCAGGCTGGTCTCAAACTTGTGGCAATCCTCCTGCCTCAGCCTCCCAAGTGCTAGGATTACCAGCCTCTGCCACCAGGCCCACTTGTAGGTAGTTTCTTAAATGATGATCATGTTTGTTATTTCAGGATAAATAACTGACAGAATGTATTGCTGGTGATAAAACTCAACTTTCAGGTGAAAATTAGGAAATCAAGTGCTTGGGGTTTAGCTCAGTGGCATAAACGTTTGTGTGGCAAGTGCAAGGTCACAAGTTTGATCCCCAGTACCAAAAAAGATAAAAACAAGAAAGAAAATTAGCAGATCACTATGAGTGTGGTAACTTTTACAATGAGATTGAAGTTCCTTTCTTCCTTTCTTTTTTTTTTTTTTTTTTTTTTTGTGAGGGGGAAGTCTTGGAATACTGTTAATTTTTTAACCACACGATGCAGTGTTTCCACATTTGGAAGAGTAGATAACTTGTTGAACCAGTATTCTCATAGTATCCAACGTATGCTGTCACAAAATCGAGCCGTGGGCAAAAGTGCATCCCGGGCCCAAAGTAGCTGGTGGGTTTAGCCACCATGAGAAGTTCTTCTGTGGGATTTCAGATTCCACATTGTAATGAGCCTCGTCAGGTTTTGTTGCAGGATCGGAGGTACATGAGTGGTTTACAGGTGTGGGGAGGTCTGCCAGCGCGCTTGCTTTTGGAAGCACAGGTCACCGGGCCTGTCTCTCTCCACACAGGTGAACTGGCGCATTCTGAATGTGAGGACCCAGCTGGCTTTCATTCAGGCAGATGTAAAGTGATCCCAAATCAGCAAATTAAAAGTCTCACTGTTCATTCCAGACTTAGTGTTTTTTGGAAAATGTATTTTCTATAAAACTGTTGTATGGATTAACAGGCAATAGATTTGTTATTTTTAAGTCAATAAGTATCTTAAAAGTATTTTTCAGTTTCTAATACAGTATCAGTTGACAAATGTAACCACATGAACAGAAGCTGAGTTCTTTATATTCTGAAGTTTAAAGGCAGGGGCACCATGCCGGGCCTGTAACCATCTTCTCAGCATGGGGTGGAGGTGTGGCGCCCCACGCTGGGTGACACAGACAACACCTGTCTTTTCAGGAAGAGAGAGCAGAGTCTGCGCGGCCGTGTCTCCACAGACAGCCCCATCTCCCGAACGACAGAGGGCCTGGTAAGAGCTCTGGGTACCGCAGACCTTGCTGGTCTCCCGATTGGGCTGCTGTGTCTGCAGCTGAGGGGGCAGTACACGTGGTGGGCTTCGCTCCCCAGGAGGCCGTGGTGTTAGGGTGCCTCCAGTTCAGGGCCAACGTGCTGCGTAGTTGATACTGCTGTCTAGGAAGAGGTAGAAACGCGGACATTCTGGAAAACCGTGTGACACTGATGTGTAGAGGTTAGAAACAGAAGAAACAAAAGTTAGACTACTCGTAACACCAAGCATGTTAAAGATAGCTAGATGTGGTAGTACATGCCTGTCATTCCTGTACCCTGGGAGGCTGAGGCAGGAAGATTGCAGGTTTGAGCCCAGCCTGGGGAATTTAGCAAAATACTATTTCCAAGTTTTAAAAACAAAAAGCCCTCTACAATGAATGTTATCATTATATATGTAAAACTTACCAACAAAATAAAAAAGTTACAAAACCAACTAAGTTTATAGAAACATTGGAAATGTAGCTCAGTACAAAACCTTGGGCTCATTCTCCATTGCTGCCACCCAAAACAAAACAGAAAAAGCTCTTAAGCTGCTGCCCTGACGTCCCTCTGTATGTCCTCAGCTGGCTGAACTACATGGTTTTGTCTGTCCTTGAATCTGCTAAGGCCTGGGAATTTTACTGCTGTGGATGATTTCTGTAGCTTCGGTGAGGTGTGACGTACAGTAGCTCAGCCCTCTGCAGCAGGCTTGGAGAGAGTGGTCTGCAGCCTCCGTCCAGCAGGAAGGGTGACCGTAGCCCTTTCTCTGTTGTGCTCTCAGCCCTTTGCACCTGCAGAGACCTGTCTGCATGTCTCTGACCAGACTTACCTCTGTTTCTCTTCAGAAGAGCTGCCCAGCGGCCAGGGCTCTGTCACTCTGAGTGACCTGCAGGAATTCCTAGGTGACCTGGCCTCCGAGGAAGACAGTGTTGAAAAAGCTAAGGAAGAAGGTGATGTATGTGGGACCCTCATCCTGCCTCAGCACTGAGGTCTCGAGTCCGCTCAGAGGCGCGCTTGATTTTCCCCTGCTGGAGAACCGGCGGGTGTGTTGTAGCACCTGTGCCGGGCAGAGGGGCTCCCTGCGTACTTGGTGCTGCACAGGCTTGCCCTGGGGAGCACTCACTGGACCTCCTTGTTTGCTGCTCCTTCCAGCTGCCATATCTAAAGAGCTTTCTGAGATCACCACTGCAGAGGCGGAGCCTGTGGGTCCTCGCGGGGGCTTTGACTCTCCCTTCTACCGGGACAGCCTCTTGGGTTCTCAGCGGAAGACGCACTCGGCTGCCTCCGGGACGCAGGGCTCCAGCGCAAACCCCGAGCCTTTACACTCCTCTCTGGACAAGCTCGGGCCCGACACACCAAAGCAAGCCTTTACCCCTATAGATCTACCCTGCGGCAGAGCCGACGCCAGCCCTGCTGAGGACAGGGACCGCCAGGCTTCCTTGGAGACCAGCATCTTCACTCCCAGCCCATGCAAAATTCCACCCAGGAGGGGAGCGGACTTTGGAAGCGGGCAGCCTCCCCCGTATGATCATCTCTTTGAGATGGCCTTGCCAAAGACTGCCTGCCACTTTGTCAGCAGGAAGACTGAGGAGCTGTTAAGGAAAGCAAAAGGAAGCCCCGAGGAAGACCCCACGCCCTCTACCTCCCCAATGGAAGTACTGGATAGACTGATACAGCAGGGTGCAGACGCACACAGCAAGGAGCTTAGCAAGTAAGCCTTGCCGCCCCGAGTGGCCCCCGGCCCACCCTCCTGCTTGGCCAGAGCGCCGGTCCCTCAGTTCTCGCCTGCTCCCAGACGCACGCCCAGCGTGCTGCCTTGGTGCGTGGAAGTGAGGCCTGTGCTGGGGTGGCCCCTCGAGCATCTGCCGTGAAGGGACCCTTTGTGGTGTTTGTACCGCTGTCCTGTGAGGACAGACATTAAAAATGAGCACCCAGGGTGTCTCAGTACAGCAGTGTTCGGTGCTGCGTTTCACACTCGAATTACGATTATTCTATTAGAATTTGGTAATGGTGGTTCCCTGGAGAAGATCAGATCACAGCATATTATGTAGGTGCACGTGGCCTAATGACCCCCTGCCACACAATGCTCCTAGAAACCAAGACCCCAGGTTGCTCTTCTTTTCAGTGCCCTTTTGCAGAGGGCTGGGGATTGCAGAGGGACCAGCCTGTCCATAGGTTGGATCCTGTGCCATTCCTACACAAGCTCTTGGAGAGATGTTACTTTTTGTCTGTCTTCTGTATACTATCCCAAGGGGGAATCTGATAAGAATTGTAATGTTTACACTTCTCTTATTTTGGTGTTTTCGAGACAGGGACTTGCTATGTAATTCAGGCTGGTTTTGAACTCACTGTGTAGCCCAGGCTGTTGTTGTACTTGGTGTTGATCCTCCTGCCTCAGCCTTCTGAGTGGTGGGATTGCAAACAAGAGTCACCATGTCCAGCGAACTTCCTCTTTCCAGTTAGACTGAATGGGTGAACTGCTTTTCCTTAAATGCAGGTGAGAGTAGCTTCTCAGAGGAGAGCTTTCCCTGTGTATTCCATGGAGAGTGGAGAAGCAGCTTTTCCTCCTCCTCCTCGGAGAAATGACCTCCTGGCGCAGGCCATGCTGAGGTGGGGAGGTGCACAGTAGGGCTCCTCCTCTAGATATCTAGCCACGCGCAATGGGCTGCTTGCCCATTCTGTCCACCCGGGCCACATTTCCAACTCCATGTGCTCTCGGAGTTTGACATTTCTTAGGCCCTTGAGGATCCCAAGCACGAGTAAGTGATCCAGCCTTGCTGCAGTTAAACACCCAGGTGAGGGTTTTTTAGGTCAGGCGGTAACTTCACTGTCCAAAACTTTATTCCTAGGTTGTCCTTACCCAGCAAGTCTGTCGACTGGACCCACTTCGGAGGTAAAGTTGTTGCTTTGGCACCATACCCTGCCCCAGCGGTCCCTGCTGTCCTGCCCCCTTGTCTGTCCTTGAAGGAGGCGCCCTGTGGGAAGCATCTCCCGCGGCCCTCCAGCCAGCTTATCTGGTTGGCGAGGGGATCTCAAGTGTTGCGAGGCCAGCATTTGCTATTTTTGAAACACGCCAAGCACCACGTGTTTGGAAGGAGAAGTGCCGCCCCTAGAAAAGACTCAGGTGATGTGAATGTGCTGAGAGCTCCCTGCAGAAGGGTGTGGTGGTTCAGGAGCAGCCAGAAGAGAGCCAGGAGTCTGAAGTGTGTGTGTGCAAGTGCGATCAGGGTGGTGGGAAGGAGAGTGGCTCTCGGCGTGCACTCCCTCTTTCCCTCCTGGCAGTGGTTGCTGCTAGGAACCAGGGGGTCCCTGGCAGAGTGGTTTGTGTTCAGGAGCTGCATTTCTCAGAACAGTATGGGCAGGGCCTGATGGAATCACAGGTGAAAGGTTCTTCTGCTTTAAAATCAGGCTCCCCGCCCTCGGATGAGATCCGCACCCTCCGAGACCAGCTGCTGTTACTGCACAACCAGTTACTCTATGAGCGCTTTAAGAGGCAGCAGCACGCTCTGCGGAACAGACGGCTCCTCCGCAAGGTGATCAGAGCAGCGGCTCTGGAGGAACACAATGCTGCTATGGTGAGGACATGGGGTGCTGCCGTGGTGTGGGCTGGGCTTTGCGTCCGCGTGGAGCTGGTGAGGAGCAGCTGCCAAGTGAGGTCAGCGCTCCCAGCTCCAGCCCTGCTCATCTCCGAGGTTTAGCTGTGGGTGCTGGGCCAGGGGTCCTTTGCAGCTCCCAGGAGCCACAGGGACAGATAACTTTTTGTGTTTGTTTGCTGTATTTGCGTGATGATGAAAGGATTGAAAGGTAATTTTATTTCTCCAGATGTGCAACCAGTTTCCCTAAAGCTATTTCATGTCATAAGTTTGAAACCCGTACCGTGCTGCAGGTGTGAAGTCAGGGAAGCTTGGAGTTGGAATAGTGGCTCTACCTGTTTTCTTAGAGAGAAAATTGGGCTCTTGAAACCTTGTCACCAGTTCTATGAAGTGAGCAGTTATAATAGCAGGACTGAGAAAAGTTCTAACAGTTAAGAGAAACAGCTGAGGATTTAGCTCTGAGGCATAAGTGCCTGCCTGGCAAGCTTGAGATCACAAGTTTGATCCTCGATACCAAAAAGAAAAGAGAAACATCAGTGCGCACTTCCCTGTGCCTGGCACAGCACAGTGTCCAGCCATGCTCGGGGTTTTGGTGAGCTTCCCAGGGCTGTGTGTCAGCAGTCTGACCCCAGTGTTTGTGTGTGTGTGTGGGGGGGCGTCTAAAGCACCGGAAGCCACTTGACCCCCAAGCAGAACTCTACACAGCTGACAGTCCATTGGCTAATGCAAAATCGGGCAAACCTTGACTGAAGCCCGGTGAGACAGTCAGAGGCGGCAGACTCTAGGTGGTGCCTGACTGTGGGGCAGGTTATCGCCACGCGGGGTGCCAGCTAAGATGGCGGCATCTCTGGTCTCTGCTAGAAAGATCAGCTGAAGCTCCAAGAAAAAGACATCCAAATATGGAAGGTGAGTCTACAGAAAGAACAAGCCAGGTACAGTCAGCTGCAGGAGCAGCGTGACACCGTGGTGACCCATCTCCACAGCCAGATCAGACAGCTGCAGCACGACCGAGAAGAATTCTACAACCAGAGCCAGGAGTTACAGGTACAGCCCGCAGTCCGGGCCCAGCCAGCAGAGAAGCCCGAGAGCCACCAGGAGGGTGGTGGGGTGCTTCTACAGTGCTGTCCCTGGGTCAACTCCCCTAAGACGAGCACTGCATGCTGAGCTCATGGCAGACAGCATCAGCCGCTGCATCTTACTGAGGACAGAAATGCTTCACCTCTTCATAGCTCCCTCCCTCATACGCATTCACCAAGGAGCCCAAAGAAACACGCGAGAGTCCCACGTGTGAGGTCTAAACTCGGTGATTGCTAGGACAGCTTAGTAGCTGTTTGAAAATGATTTAGATACACACTTTTTTTTTTTAATCTTTTTGAGACCAAGTCCCGCTATGTGGTTCAGGCTGGCCTTGGGCTTACTTTGTAGCCCAGGCTGGTCTCACACTTGCAACGATCCTCCTGCCTCAGCCTCCCGAGTCCTGGGATGATAGGAGTACGCCACCACACCTGGCTACACAGACATTTTAAAAAATTTCCTGTAGCAGCAGACTAAGGCCACAGCAGCTGGCGGTGCGCACTCAGCCTCGGAGACAGAGTGGGCAGTGGCGCCCTCGTGTCCTGCTCCATCACAGCTTTGCAGAGCCCCGGCTGCACCCAGGCTCCAGCCCTGGGCTGTCAGCCGCCTGCAGCTGATCAGTAGTTCATGGTGTGTCCCACAGGTGTCACTGTATGTCCCTCAAAAGTGTAAACTGTCCTGGTGATTTGCTTATAGTCCCAGAGATGTTCACTGTGCAGATTGGGAACTAAGGTCTTTGTTCCTTTTTTAAAAGAATTGAGTAGTAAGGCACTTAGAAATCAACCACAGCTAACCTTCTAAGACAAAGAAGTCAGATGCTGATGGCCCAGGATAGGAGAGCAGTGGAGGAGTGGGGCACCCCAAATTCGGTGTGGGCCAGCAGCCAGGTGGGCAGCTGGTGCCACTGTAACCCTGTGCCCACGTGTGCTTGGCAGACGAAGCTGGAGGACTGCAGGAACATGATCTCTGAGCTCCGCGTGGAGCTGAAGAAGGCCAACAACAAGGTGTGCCACACGGAGCTGCTGCTCAGCCAGGTCTCCCAGAAGGTGAGCAGGTGCCCATCACTGCCCCCGCGGGACAGATTTATTACCCGAGTACTGGGGTGGGGTTCCCTGGGGGTGGTCCCAGGTCCCTTGCCTTTAGAGGACATTTGGCAACATCAGAGGTTTTTGGTGCCACCAGTTTGCGGCTGGGGCCAGGGTTCTGCTGATTATGTTTCAGCACACCAACCGTGCCCCCAGCAGTGGGCTGGGCCCTGGGTCCCATGTACCCCATGGAGCTCTTTCTCACAAAGGCATAAGGGTGCTGGGGCCTCTGAGTGCCGCCCTCTCTTGGCATTCAGTAGGCTGCTGTGTTCCGTGTACTCAGCAGCAGGTGAGCTCCCTGGGGCTTCCTCATGAACCTGGCATCCCTGCCGTGGTGGCCATGTGCTTGTCCATGTGTGTCCCGTGGTGGTTGCCTTGATATAGGCTGCTCATGCTACCTCCCCTTTGCGTGGCACAGTTTTAAAGTGCAGTTCTGCCCACTTTTGTTACTCTTTGGGCACATTCCTCCCTGCCAGCTTGAAAGCTGGGTAGTTGGAAACCGAGGGTGTTGCTTATTCTGCCCTGGGGTTGAGCCCTTGTGGACCTGGTAGGTTTCCCGCTGCACCCATTTCTGGTTTTGTGGTGGCGGCCCCTCACCGTCTGTGTTTTGTGCAGCTCTCCAATAGCGAGTCAGTGCAGCAGCAGATGGAGTTCCTGAACAGGCAGCTGCTGGTGCTCGGGGAGGTCAATGAGCTGTACCTGGAGCAGCTGCAGAACAAGCATGCAGACACCGCCGAGGTGGGTGCAGAGCCAGCGGTGCACCACATAGACTGGCTTTGGGAGTCGGTCCTCAGAGGCAGGGCCCCCTGGCAATGCACAGGCCCTGTCCAGCTGTCGGGAGAGTGTGTGTCCCTTGCTGGGTGGCTATGAGATGGACTCTCGCAGGGTTGTCGCAGGGGAAGGTGCTTCCTGTCCCCTCCTGTACAGAGAGACATTCCGATGGGGACCATGGGCTGTCCTGGGCTGTCCTACATTCTCTCTTCTTTTCTTGTGGAGTCTAATTTCTGCTGATGGTTGTTCAGTCCTGGCACCAAGGCCCGGCTGGGATGATCTGCCCTTAATTAGCGCCTCACCAGCGTTGTCAGGACAGAAGTTCCATGTTGCTTGATAAACAGCCTCAGGCCATGTTGGGGAATGAGTAGGAGATGCTCAGGTACTTCTGCCACAGCTGCTGCTTCATGCACACACGTACACTCGCTCTTCAGGATTTCCTGGGCTTATGCTTTGTAAAGAGTCTTTTTTGGACATGGCTCTCAGACTCCTCCTAGAAGGGTGTTTGTTCCATGTGGAACTTTCTAGACACGGGCAGTTGTTGGGAAGGTTGAGTGGCCGTGGGGGAAGGAAGGTAGGGAGCAGACCCAGGAGACTTCTGAAAGAGCTCGTGGAGGACTGGCTGATGCTTCCCCGAAGTGGGCGGGAGGGCTTCTGTGGTATGGGCTGCTGTTGGACATCTTTGGATGCTTAGGGACCTGTTTCACGATGAAAGGAGGCTGCTGCTGCTGGCTTATAGGATGATGCCGTCAGTGGTACACCACGTGACCCAGGAGCCAAGACGGCTTCAGAACCAGAAATTTGACTGTGTTACTTGACAAGAAGTCCAGAGACGGGCGAGTTCCAGGCTGGTCAGGTTGGCAGCTGGGGACAGTGTCAGGGAGCCAAACTCTTCAGCTGTTCCGCACCACCCTGCCGGTCCTGTCAGCTTTGTGTCCCAACCAGCTGTTCCCATGGTGCCTAAGAGGCACTAGTCCTGGGCAGATACCTGGTGTCTTGAGGAAGTGAGCGTCTCTTCTGGGTCTCACTCAGTGGGAGACCTTTCCCAGGATCCTCTTCTTGCTTCACGTGACTCTGCCAGGATTGAGTCAGGTGCTCTTTAAATTCCATCCTCACCTCGAGCCATCTGGCTTTGCTGCCAGGCCAGCCGAGGAGGCGGGGCAGGTGTCCTCAAATCAGGCGGGCCAGCCAGTTGGCTGGTGAGGCTACTGTGAGCTCAGGGACCTTCTTGATGCAGTTCCTTGAATGATTAGCAATCAGTCAATCCCTGGAGGCCCGCTCCAGTGCATCTCTTAGTGAGATGGCACGGTACTTGCTTATTGTGGCCCACACACATCATCCCACACACTCTGCTCACGTGTGATGCACTGAGTGCTTAGTGTATGTGTAGTAAACAGGCCTTACCCTGGACCCTTAGGGAGGAGCAGCAGAAAGGCCCTGCATGCTCGGCACAGTCAGTTTTGTTTCGACCATTCTGTTTGTGGTTGGCTAACTCCGTGGGTGTGGGGCTGGCTGCTGTTGCTTGTGACCCACATCAGATGTCAGACACATTGTCCTCGCCTTAGCCACTTAGCACAGCTAGAATGGCCACATAGTCTCGAAGCGGCTGGAGCTTCAGTCTGTCACAGACTCTACCCTTGAAACTGGTGTTTACTGGTCAGTCTCAAGGCCAGGAGCCTTCATGAAAGTTACCTTCCTTATACTTTGTGGTTTGCTACCTTTTAAAAGCAAACATACAGCTATGAGTTTTACGGCACACACATTTTACGCTAGTAATGGCACACACGTAACACGTGCTGTTAGAAAATTGCCCTTCCTGCCTTTTCTCTGCACATCAGGGTACACTTGCCCTGAGTTTGCAGCTGCGGGGAGGTGGTCCGCCTAGGCATCACCAGCAGGTCTCATGGGGGGCAGCCCACACCGGCTGTCTCTCTGGAGCAGACCTTCTCAGTCCCGCTGCCGTCTCTAGCTCTACCTCAGCTGCTGTTAGGGAGTGAGAAAAATAAGACAACATGGGTCCCACAGCGCCCCAGCATAGCTGAGAACCGGTGTGTACCACTGGTGTGTTCGAGTGTGTCTGGTGCCTGTTGCTGGTCTGCTTTGTAGCTTTTGTGCCGCCATACCCTTTCCAGCAGCGTAAAAATATGGAATGTCCTTTATGTAACTGCCTCCCTGATGAGGGGTTTCCAGTTCTTAGCTATCACAAATACACTGGTGATTCTTTTTGTTATTTTTAACGTGGTAATTAGAGGAGCTCCATGGCATGCTGGCCTGCCTTTGCTTCCTCCTGCCCCCGCCCCCAGCCTGTTCATTGGGCATTTCCTTGCACGAGCAGTCAGTGAACTTTTAGCACACGTGCTTGGCAGTACTTTTAACTCCTCTCTAACAGGGTGCAAGTGGGTTTTCAGTAATTTACACGAACAAGTGGGTTGTGCTCAGTCACTGCAATTTTAAGCTGCTATACCCAGGGATAGAAAGATTATAGAAAAGTGGCATAGCAGCAGTGCCTTAGGAAAGGAGGAAAAACAGAGTCTTTAAAAATGGGTCTGCAAAGTTAGCTTTAAAAAAAAAATTGGGGGATAACTTATTAGTCAGAAATTTGGCATCTTCAAAATTCAATGGAAGCGCCAGGCCATCTGTGTCTACGGCTGGATTTGGAGCCCTATGGGCAGTGCTGATCGCTTCTGTGTAGTGTCCTCGTGGTTCGGAGTGCTTTACTCCAGTGAGCCTTCAGGGAGGTTTCTAGCTTAATACCCAGCCAGCTCACTTCCCAGAGAGCTGGACTTGGTTACATTTCTACCCCGGGGTGCTAATGTGCCCACTCAGAGCACACGAGGTCTCTTCAGAGTGGATGCGATGTGCTTGTTTTCTACAATAAGTGCCAACTGCAATCTCCTAGGAAGTGGAACTGATGAGAGCTGCGTATCGGAAGGAACTAGAGAAAAGCAGGAGCCACGCTCTCCAGCAGAATCAGAGACTCGACACATCCCAGAAGCGGGTTTTGGAACTGGAATCTCATCTGGCCAAGAAAGACCACCTTCTCCTGGAGCAGAAGAAGTACCTGGAGGATGTCAAGTCCCAGGCAAGGTAACTTCCACAGGACACGTTTGTGCAGTGAGGGGTGCTGGTGGGGGCCTCCCACCATCCGGTCTGCTCTCTCTCTCTCAGAGGACAGCTGCAGGCTGCAGAGAGCAGGTACGAGGCTCAGAAGAGGATCACCCAAGTGCTTGAGTTGGAGATCTTAGACTTGTACAGCAGGCTGGAGAAAGACGGCCTCCTGCATAGGCTCCAAGAGGAAAAGGCGGAAGCGGCAGAAGCTGCAGAAGAAAGGTGAGGGCGCCCGGGTATTTAGCTCAGGGGTGTAGGTGCCTGCCTGGCCAGCGCGAGGTCATGAGTTCGATCCCCGGTACAAAACAAAACCCAAAACAAAAAAAACTCAAAAGACAGGCAAGCGCCAAGAGCTATACCTGGCCTTGCAATGCAGCTGCTAGTGGCAGAGCTGGGACTGCATGGCCTGGCATGGAAGTGGCAGGTGCAGCCTGTCAGGGTGGGCCTCAGCACGCGGTCTGGCAGAGCTGCCCTGACTCACCTTAGCTCTCAGTGCCCAGGGTTTCCCCACCCCCACTCCAGGCTTGTGTCACATGGCCTACCACTCACTGTACAGATTTCAGAATCCTTCCTTGTAACCAAGGGCCCTCTGTGCCATCTCTTGCTTGGTTTCACTGTTACATAGCACAGCGGGTCAGAAGAGTTGAGGTTGGATGGGAGTGGGTAAAACCGGGCAATTCCGCATCTCCCTGCATGGATGTCAGAGTCACAGCTCCTTTTTTCCTCCCTGATTTCTTGCAGGCTTGACTGTTGCAATGATGGCTGCTCAGATTCTGTGGAAGGGCGCAATGAAGAGGCGTCTGGGCACAACGGTGAAGCCAAGACTCCCAGGCTTGGCAGCGTGCGGGGGAGCAGTGGAGGCCGAGGAGCCGGAGGTGGCGGCGGTGGCAGCAGCAGCAGCAGCGAGCTGTCCACCCCGGAGAAACCCCCAAGCCAGAGGGTGGGCCCCTTTGGTAGTCGGAGGGAAGCTGCCCTGGGCGAGCCCAGCCCCGGCATCCCAACCGTCGGTTCACTGCCCAGTTCAAAAAGCTTTTTGGGCATGAGGGCTCGAGAGTTGTTTCGAAACAAGAGTGAGAGCCAGTGTGATGAGGACTGCACGGCCATCTGCAGCCTCCCTGAGAGCCTGAAGGCGGAGCTCGGCAAAGACTCAGATGTGGAGGCCAGGCCTGCTCTGAACCTGGACGGCCCGCACCCTTCTCCCCCGAGTCTGGACAGCGTGGGGCAGCTCCGAATCATGGACTACAACGAGGCCCACCACGAACACAGCTAAGGGGTTCAGTCAGTGTTAATCTGCGTCTTGTTGGCATAGAGCAGGAGGTGTGAATGCATGTCCAGGCCTTCCCGTCCCTGGGGCTGAGTGGCTGCTCACGTGTGGAAGTGGGAGAGTGATGCGGAACGGTTTGCAGGTCTGACATTGAGATGCCTCTTGGCCTCCCCTCACCCTTGCCCTGAAGCTTTCTTTACCGTCAGTGTGTACTAACCGAGGGCCAGTGGGTGCTCTTCACAGCTTTATTTTCTTCCTCCCCCATGGTTACGTCCTTGAACCTGTGCAATACGAGGCCAAATCCCACCTTTGAGTCTGCTGCCCTCTGCTTTCCTGACGCTCAGATCGCTAGGTGGTTCCCGGTCAGACCGGGCAGGTGGTGGCCACAGGTAAGTCTGATCTGTCCCTTCTGTGAGATGTGGCCTGCAGAGCAGATCATCTTTGTGAGAGCATCTGGGGGGGCCTTTCCCTGTGTTTGGATCCTAAAGTGCAGCGTCTGCAGCAGCAGATCTAGAAAACAGTGGTTGGCTCATCCCTCCATCCTTTGGCGGTTCCGATCCACTCCGAGCAGGTTCCCTGTGGACAGGCGCCTGTTGTTTCCTGAGTGTAGCCGGCACTGTGGAGGCCACCCCTCCTCATCCCTACTCCTGTCCCCGTCCCTCCTTCCCCCACTACCTCTTATTTATTTGGTGTTTGCTTGAATGCCGGTACCACGCTGAGCCTGTGCAAGTGGGGGCGTAGGTGTGTGCCCCAGGCAGCAGGGGGAGTCCCTCAGAGAGGTCCCCGGAGCTCCCTGGGTGGGAGCGGTGCCCTTGACTGGGTCAGCTGCTGAGCCTTTGGGTTAGCCCTTTGGTCTGGCTGCCTTCCCTGGAGCTCCCTGTGCCTCATTTGTGTCACCTGCTTTGTGACACTGCAGCAGAGAGGCCAAGAAGGTCCAAAGCTGCTTCAGAGCTCCTGTGACCATTTTTCAGGCTGGGGTTGCCCCACCACAGTTTGTCAGTTATAAGTCCCCGAAAAGGTTGCCCCTTTTTCACACCGTTACTACCAGGGCCAGTGGTCTCGGGAGTTTGACGTTGTCACCTGGCCTACAATAGGGATTGTAGTGCCCAAGAGCGTGCTGGCAAAGGCCAACTGCCTGTACCCACTGGGCTGCACCACATTGTCATGGAGGTGCCACCAGTCAGACTCTGATGTCAGGGAATCCACACCCAACAACTGCACCTGAGTAAGAAGAGCTAGAAGCCTGAAAGCTGATGTCTAGTAGTCCAGCCCAGGGGAAACTCGGCGGAAAGGAGCCCTGTTTCTGTTCTTTAGAGAAAAGAAGGGTTCAACCATAAAGCAAAAGAAACCAACGGTACGAAACTGGCACACTCTGTGGGAGCCTCCAGCACCTGAGGGGCAGGCTGTGCCTTTTCTCAGTGTGGCAGGAAGGACCTCAGCATCTAGACCCACGGGAGCCAGCCCGACGGAGACTCGGTGCTGCCATGGCAACTGGGGGTATGAGCCGACAGGCAACCTGGGGGAGGGCGTGGCCCTGCCCTCCGCACACAGAGCCCAGGGCTGCAGGCTGTCCCTGGAGCCCCAGCAAGGCCAGGCCTGTATCCAGTGTAGGGTGCAGGGCAGCCAGGCCTCCTGCTCCGGCACTGGACAAGAGTGACGTGAACAGGAAGGAAGCAGGACAAGTTAGCAAGTGACGTCAGTGTGGAATGCTCTCCTGTTCTCCCAAGTCCAAGACATCTGGGCCACAGAACAAAGCTGCCAGCCACTGTGTCAGAGCCTTTTCCTTAATTAGCAGAGGAAAACGTAAGAAAGAAAAATCTATTTTGAAGGCTGATGGATTGTGAAGGGGGCAGCATGGGGGTGGGGAGGTGCTGTGGCGACTGCTCGGGTGCTGCGCACGGCTTCCCTGCCCCGGCTGTCTGTCCCCCCAGCTCTGCGGCCCAGTGGGCCTGGGCCTCACTACTCACAGCCCTTGCTGTAGAGGAGGCCGTGGCTTTAGTTAGCTGAGCTGCAGAGAAATGGGCAACTTGGAGCCACAGGGAAGTCTCTGCTGCACTGGTGGGCTTACATGGTGCAGAAGACTCCGAGGTCGACTTGAGAGCTCACACTCTTTCCTGCCGAGAGCCGTGTGCTGCTAGATACTGCATCAGTCACCGGTGCTGGGGCAGGCGGCGTAAACACAGGAAGGTGACAGGTCAGAGAAGGTGACAGGCCCAAGAGGCACAGAGGCCTGCACACAGAAATGAGGCAGCTCATGGGGCAACAGAGCCTGTCTTGACGCTGGCTGAGGCGCCTGGGGTCTGTGGTGCTGGCACTGGGTGGCCTCTGGCATGATTGCTGTGATCCTACACTGTGATCCCATGCTGCGGGGGTGAGATGTGAGACTTCCACCCCTCCTGACGCCACCAGGGTCATCAGGACTGCAGGGAGCCTAGGTCTGTGTCTCAGGCCGCCCCGCATCTGTTTAAAAAGCGCTGCAGTGTGGTCTGGGGTGCAGGGGAAGGAGGAAGTAAGCTCCTGAGCAGCTGCAGGAACCTCTGTGGGCTTCTAGATGCTCCTGGTAGGCGCTGCCATAAGGGTGTAAAAACTGTTTCTGTGGAGCTGGGAGAAGTGTATGGTGATGAGTCTGCGGAGAGGCTTGAGAGGAGGTGGTGTTGGGGCGTTCCTTGGCTCCAGAGGTTCCAAGAGGGCCCTTGGAAGTGAGTGCTCAGATAGCATCACCAAGGCGAGGCCTGTGACTACTCTAGGTTTCCGCAGCTTCCGGGGAAGGCGCCGCCTGGCTATGGGGAGCGTGCTGCATGTGGTGTGGTTGGGCCAGCGGCCCTGTGTCACCCAGGAGAAGCTGAAAGCCACTGACGGTCAGAGAACGTGGCCTCCTCCTGACCTTCCCACTACAGTCAGAGGCCAGAACTGCCTGGGCCAAAAAAGCAGCAAACCCCCAGACTGAGTGTCGAGCAGCCTGTAGCTCCCAGCGCCTTTGTTGAGATGGAAACAGCCATTGCTGGAAGAGGGCACAGTGGCCTTGGGGGGATGCGCCATGGCTGGACCGCAGAGCTCACAGTGGTGTTAGGGGGAGGAAGGTGGGTGTGTGTCCCCGCTGACGGTAAAGTGAGTGTGCTGTGGCCAGCTGAGGGAACTGTCCTCGGAGTACCAGAGCCTATCCTGAAGCCCGAGAGGACTGGAGGGCAGACGGAAGTACTGGTGGTGGTGGTTCCTGCTGAGCACGAAGTGGGCGGGAGGCAGTATGGACCGGTCGGGAAGATATGGGCACAGCACAAGCTCCGCCCCATGGTAGAGGATGCCCCTGGGAAGCTGGCATCCGAGGGTGCAGAGCCCCAGGCCATGCCCTGCAGGGACCTCCCCTTCGCTCTCCAAGGTGCAGGCTCTGAAGTTGGTTCCCATGAGTGTTGGAAAGAGCCCAGTCTGACATGCAGAGCCCTGGGCTCCGCGTCCCCCCACCCCTGACTGCTGCAGTCACCGTGCGCTCAGCACTTCCGTAGGTAAAGAGCAGGTTAGGTCAGGGCCTGGCCCTTAGGCTGCTCCTGGGACCTGGTTCCCAGGTTGCTTGTTGTCTCCCAGCCTCCCCAGCCAGCTGGGGCCGCTGGCGTGTTCGTCTTTGCTGCGCTGTCCTGCAGGCTGTAAGCACTCGTGAGAGAAGAGTGGCTGCAACCACAGGGACCCCTCCCCAGTTCCCTGCAAGCACCCTCTCCACCCTCCCTGCACCCCCGACCACTTTTGGCTATGCGATGAGTGAATGAAGCCCCAGGCGCTTTGTGGCCATCCCGGTGCTGTCATCCTCCCCCCGGGAGGAGGAGCCTGTGGGGCCCTTAGACTAGATCCTGTAGTGGAGACCGCCAGGACCCCACACACCTTGCATAGTGCTGGACCAGGAGGGCGTGGTGCTGTGTAGCATGCGCCGGCTCATTTGTGAGGCGGCCAGGCACTTTGCACTAAGGAGAATCAGTGATCTCTCCCTAGAGAACGTCTGTGGACCACAAGCGCATTACAGAGGGACAGGTTTGCTAAGCTGAAATCTAGTTTTATAAGTCAATCATGGATGAACCATATGTGGGTAACGAGTTTAAAGGGATCTCATCAGTGAGAAGAACTCGACTTTTTAAACAGACTGCTTTTAGTTAAATGGACGAAAGTCACTTCTTGTCACAAGGTTTAAACTTTGCTGCCTTGATCTTAAAAGCATGTTAAACAGTCCACCTCAGATGCCATAAATATGAATTGCAAGAGAACCTGGTACAATCTCAGTGAGGGGAAGCTGGGCTCAGAAGGGGGTGCTGTCCTTCTTAGGTGTTCTGCAGTGTCAAGGCAGTTGCTTGTGTTTAACTGTGAACAAATAAAATTTATCGTTTTGCACTACTCCGCTGCGTCGACCTGACTGATGCTGCCCGGGGAGTGGGGGTGCAGTGGATGAAGTTGGGATTCGCCCAGAGGTGCACAGCAGCATGGGGCTGGAGGGTTTCCTGGGGTGGCTAGGTACGGATGAGCGTGGGTTTTGGATTTAGTCTCCAGAGGCTTTGTGTCCTGGTACATTACTGACACCCTTCTCTGCCTCAAATGCCTGCCCTTCCCCAAAGAATCCCTTGGTGGTACCCTCCCAGTCTCATCCATCAGGGAAAGCCTAAAGCCACTGGTCTGCATGCCGCTGGGCTGGCCTGGCTAGGCCAGGCTGGCCGCACACAGTCCTTGGCTGCAGAAGCCAGCAAACATCTACTGCGCTGTGGCCTCACCTTCTGAAAGCCTTGCCAGCTGCAGGTACATGCTGAGCGACAGCACAGCTGTGGCGACCACCTGCTCTGTGCCCTTCAGGCATTGGGCAGGAAGCAGCAAGTGCCCTTACTGGATTTTGAGGGCCACGTAACCATCTCAGTGGGCAGGGGAAGGAGACTGCACTCAGCAGGCGGTCAGGTGTGTGGATAGTGTGGCCCTGCTCATCTCAGTGGCAGAGGCAGCTCCCGAGACAGACGTGGAAGGGGCAGTGTGGGATTTGTCTGAACAATTCGGGCTTTATTATCTGAACAGGTCTCTCCCTAGACAAGGGGTTGCTTTCCACCCCTGGAGGAACGTCCGCAGGCTGGGCCTGACCCTGCAGTGGGGTTCTCTTAGACCCGCTCTGGGAATGGACGTCCACTTGTCCGCAGCAGCTTCCCTTTCATCTATGAGGATGTCTTAGGAGAAACAGGTTTCCTTTCAGGGCTAAGCCCAGGAAAGTAAGCCAGGCAGAGAGGCGGTAGAACTTTATTCCCAACTGTCTCCCCCCGAGGAAGCAACAGTACAGAAGCTAAGTTGTCCCCTGCGGAGGGAAAAACCAACAGTCAGCGTGACTTCTGGCATGCAGGAAGTCAGGGACGCATGTTACAGTGTACAGGCCTTAGCTGTGCCTGTGCAAAAGCCACCACAGAGCTTTCTCCCAGCTTCCATCATTATCTCCCTTTCCAAGTACAGGAGAGGGACAGTCGGGCTTGTCCCCTTCATTTTAGCCTAAGGCCACGAACACAGGCCGACCCAGAGTGTCGCTGTCCTACAGTCAGAGCTCGGGCCTCGCCTCACTGCCCTGGCAGGGCAAGGGTGCTCCCTGCGGAGCTGGAGCCACAGCTGGGCAGGCCAGGCACAGTGGATGCCAGCTGAGTCCTTTCTCTGGGACACCCACTCCCGACACCACACTGCTCTGGCAGCTTGGTAGGCAGGGCTCCCCTTCGACAGCATAGAGATCAGAATCGAAAATTTCAGGGGTGGAAGCAAGAGGGGAAAGGTTCTCAACAGTGTATTGGCCCTTTTCCGGCCTCACGGCAGACTATCAGTAAAAACAGGTCAACCCGTTCAAACCAAACTTACTGGACAGGACACCCCACAGCCCTGGGTCACAGTTTCCCGCAAGGTGGCCTCCAGGGAGGCTTGGCGTGTCCTTTGTCTCTCCCCCTAGGTCTGAGGCTGTCTTTCCTAAGTTGCCTAAACTTGAGTTTTCTTAGCCCGGCCAGGGCATGCGCGGCTGCCTCCGTGGCTATCTGCTGAGCTGGGGACACACTCACTTGCTGCAGAGCCTTTCGGGGCAGCTTCTCTGAGTGGGCGATCCATTCTTTCATCACGTCCATGACCAGGGGGATGAGGCTGACCACGCCTCCGTAGTGGTTCTTGGCCTCGTCGCAGCTGAGGTGGTTCACCACGTCGTGAGGGTACCTGCAGGACCGGACGGGATGGGACGGGACGGCGAGGGTGGCGGTGAGACACGTGGTCACTCCAGGTCTTGGAACTGGCCAAGCATGGGTCCTGGTTCCTCGGGGTTGGGTGTGAGAGTCCCAGACATTTCTGAGGTGAAAGGAGCTTCGGGCCACTGACCTATGGTTAGGAGGAGCCTGGCCTCGGGGCTCAGGAACCTGCTGCATGTCATCTCTGCAGTCAGTCCTTTGGCCTTTCCCAGCCTACTATCTAGAGGTCCCTGAGACTTGGGCACACTGCACTCTGGTTCCCTGGGGTTCAGGGAAGGACCTGCCGTGGCAGCGCTACCACCCTTGGGTTGGGCTTTGTGTGCTAGTGTGGACCCATGGACCTCGGGGCACAACTCCTCTGTGAGCCTGTCTCCCTTGGCCTGATGCTCAGTATGGTACTACTTTGTGCCCTCCTGTGTGATCTGGTTTTATGTATGTGTGGTGGAATCTATGTCATTCCAGTAAATGGATGGGGACACGGGAAGTCAGGACAGTGTGTACCCCACACCTGGCTTGGGATCGCCTGCCCTCACTCACTATGGCTGCCCCCATAGCAAAGCCTCTCCAGCAGGTACAGAGGGACTTACTTTGCTCTCAGGCTGCTCAGGTCATTGCTTTGGCTGACCAGGGTTTTGCATTTCTCAAGGAGGTTGTTGGTGACCGGGGTGCCAGTGTGCAGGGCCTCGAATTGCTGGCAGAGCTTGTTCAGGTCCGAGCAGATGTCCAGGAACATAAGCAGGATCCGCCGGTCCGTGGAGTTGTAGCAGTGATGCTCCATGTAGCTCTGCACCTGCAAAGCCCAGTGTGACATGAGCTGAGGAGAGGCACCCCAGTGCAGCAGTACCCCTATTCCCCCACCTCTAGCTTCCTGTACAGACTATGACATACAACTCTTGTCATTAGGTGTCCAAGATCCCATGCAAAATGCTTTCCTGGCCTGGTTCCACACCTTATCTAAGTGCCATGCAGTGGGTGGGCACCTTTTCAAATCTTCATTTTGCAATACTTTGAATAGTGGAAGTTCAGAGGGTGGAATACAGTGGCCAGTGCCACTATGGAGGTCTGGCTTTCTCTGGACCCATTCTGTACAACATTCCCCTAGTACCAAGCCAGCCATCACCCAAATCAAATGGGGCCAGGTCCTGAGGGTCCATGTCCTAGTTCCACACGAGGGACCCAACAGGACTGTAGCCAGCATCACCATACTGAGGAGGAACAAAAGGAACAAGGATCCTGTGGGTTTCAGTTGTACTGTGTCCAGGGTAGGGGACAGGAGGGACAAGTGGGTAAATGGATCCAAGAAAAGTGATCCACATGAGAGAAACAAAATGTGGTCTCTCCTGCACCCGACATTCAGTATCAACTCTTGGGGGATCAGGAGTTTAAATACCAAAAAGAACTCTTGCATGGAAACCTTTCTTAGTCACTTTTCTCATTGCTGAGACAATATACGAAACACCGAAGACTAGGGGAGGAAAAGTTTATTTAGCTCATAGTTTGTAGAGGTTTCAGGCCATAATCAGCTGGCTTCAAGGCAGGGTGATACATAGCAGAGAAGCAACAGTCCATGGTGGACCAAAGGTAGCAAAGCAACAAGGGAACTTAATGGCTTTTTTATATTCTTAATGTCCCTTTTATATTTTATCTAGACTACTAGGTTTAGGGCAGTGCCAAACCAGTCGTAGGCCAATTTAGTAATCACACACCCTTACTCCCAGCATTGCACCATGAGATCAGTCACACTCCAGATCCAGCCACCTCTGATAATATAATAAAGTCCTGCCCATAACTGCATGAGGGCTTGGGAGTGCATCCAAACACAAGCCATAACATTCTACCCCAGCCTTCCAAAAAGATTAATGCTATCCTTTTATGCAAAAGGCATTTGGTCCATCTGCAAGAGTCCAAGTCTAAAGTCCCCTCCAAGATGTAAGGCAGACCCTTAGCTTGAGTCCCTGTACAAATGAAAACGTTAAACACCCAACATGCACAAGATACATTTCCATTCCAAAGGTTACAAGTGGGGATACAAAGAAGAGGAACCAAAGCAAGCACAAAATGCGGCAGAGTAAACATAAAGTCCTGTAGTTGCACCTGCAGCATCCTGGGCAAACTGGCAAGCTGTGAGCTCTAAAGGACCTGAGTGGCACCACCCTATGGCACTTCTGGTGGGTGTAGCTCCTGTGGCTTCTCTCTTGTCCTGGCTCTGCTCTCTCCTTGCAATTTCTTAGGACAATTCATGTTCCTGGCTTCCCCAAACTTCTGGTATCTCCATCACAGCTTCAGCTTCACACACTGCCTTCTCTGGGACACACTGCCTAGGCTTCCAGGGTTTTTTCTGAAATCAAGTAGAAGCCTTCCTGACGCCACAACTCTTGTATTCTGTATGCACCTAAAACCAGACCACAATGATGTCAAGGTCTGCCACCAGCTGGAACAGTAGCCAGGCTTCCTTCTCTCTTGGCTCTAAGAGTTTAGTGGCCATGAGCCAAATTCCTAAGAAAAACTGTAGACCATCACCACTCTGGTACATGCTGCTCTGGGGCTCACTTCTCAAAGCAAGCTTTCCCTTTTCCACTTGTGAAGCTGCAAAGGGTGGAGTCCTGTTGCTGCTTGTGATGCCCTCAGGCCATCTTTTCTGTTCCTTCTCAGAAGTAGTGATCTCCTCTGCTTTATCTTTGCAATCCAAAGCTTTACTAGCTAGAACTTCCTTTCTAGCCAAACTCACAGTGTTTTAAATCATCATGCTGGGCTCTTTTGCTCGTGATTCTCAGCAAAAATCTGGCTAAAAGTCTCCAACAGTAGCCATGCCACTGCCTCGGACTGCATGGGAACTTCTGCAAAATTAGTTTGCCGCTGTTAGTCTCAAGCAAAGTCTCTGGACATAAGAAAAATGCAGACAAACATTCTGCCAAGGTATAGCACACATCTGCAGTCCAACAGCCAAAGACCTAGTCTTTCCCAGCAGCACTTCCATCAGCCTTCTGGTCTTCTGAGCTGTGACCGGAATCTCCCGTACATAACAGCCTATGGCTTTCCAGCACTGCTTTTTCAACCAGCGTCTCCAAACCTTTCCAAAGTCTTCCCACAAGCCACTCCCAAAGGCTCCTGAACCTTTGGTTAGGTACAGTCACAGCAATGAACCCACTCCCCTGGTACAAAATTCTGTCTTAGTTACTTTTCTCATTGCTGAGACAAACCACCTGACACAAGTTAAGGAAGGAAAGGTTTATTTAGTGTGTAGAGGTTTCAGTCCAAAACTGGCCAGCTGTAAGGCAGTGAAGCAACAGTTCGTGGTGACAGAAGATAGCAAAGCAACATGGTTCTTCAACAGCATCCTGCGGCTTTTTTTAGACTCTGTAGGCTTTCAGAATGAGGGCACTGCCAAACCAATGAGTGGACTGACTTAGTAATGGTATACCCTTCATCCTAGCATTGCACCATAAATCAGTCATACACTCTAGACCCAGGTGCCTCTGAGAAAGCCCCACATGAGGATTTGAGGGGCCATCTAGACATAAGCCATAACACTTTCTAAAAGAAGCCACACAAGGGGCTAAGAATACTGATTCTCTGATCTACTCTCAACAATTTTTTTGCCTTGGTAGGGGGAGGTGGAGGTCCTTCCTGGGTCATGGTCTTTCTCCACTTACCTGGGACCAGCCACTAACCATGTCTGAGGTGGGGCCAGGATGGGCGACCTGATCTCTGCTGGGTAGGAAGTGGCTTGGGTCCAGGTCTCATGAACTGAGCCATTTGTATCACAGCCTGTTAGCTCTCTGCAGTCTGATGATGCAAGGGTTATCACCTACCTCCCCAGCACCTGAAGTGTCCTATCTAAACGGGCTTCCCTGATGGTCTGAAATGGTTCCTCCTGAGCTTTGTCACAGAGGACCTGGCCCTGGTGTGTGGTCTTTGCTGCAGTGTGGCTCAGGCCCTGATTTCCTGGAAAGCCTCCAAAGCAAGCACGGACAACCAAGAACCCTCCAGAGAAACAGAGTTAAGTACAGCCAGGAGCAATGGGCATGGCCTGCTGGGATTTTCAGTCCCCAGAAGAATGTGGTGAAAGGCACCATGGCCATGGGTCACCAGCCAACCCTGGGCTGAGAGGTCTCCGTGGACACTCCCTGAATCTGCATAACGGATGAGGAAACCGAGCCTTAGTGATACAGACTTCCAGCCCCAGCTCTCAGAGGTGCTGGGCACTTAGACCCTGGCTGGGTCTTGAGCTCCTGTTTTAACGGCTGTACAGTCCACATACTACTAAGGGATGCGTGAAGGATGGGTTCCCTTTGGGGATCTGAGTCTGGGCTGTGGCACCAACATGCCCCCGTCCCAGGCCTCCGTTTTGTCTTTCCTGTGAAGGACTGGGCTGGGTGAGCCCCCAGGGTGTGTCTGCTGCTCCCCAAGCCACGCACACAGGCCCCCCCAGGCACCACCTGCCCGATGCTGGAGATGGGCCGGATCTTGTCATGTGCGTTCTCCCTGCAGTGCTCCAAGGCCGCAATGAAGGTGAACTGCTGCTGCTGGAAGAGCCTGTACTTCTGCTCCACACCTCGCAGGGACTCTTTGACTTCATTCATCGACATCGTCTGGGGTCACCCGCGGGACACGAGGGACCTGCGGGGAGGAAGAGCAAAGCCGTAAGTTCCCAGAACCCGGGACGTGGACCAGCCCAAGAGGGGCAGGTTCCTTGGGGCGGAGGAGGATGCAAGCCATGGCCGCGTGCCACAGCCCCGAGGGGCAGGGACTGATTTCATCTGATTTGCTGCCCTCTTCAATTTGCCCACCAGGGACACAGCATGCCATGAAATGTGAATTCCTCCCTCAGCGGCAGACAGTTCCCCTGGTCCTGTTTCTCTGCCTTAAACACACACACACACACACACACACACACACACACGCAGCCTAGAGCACCTCATGTGTCAGCACAAGCTGGGCTCAAATGATGTCAAACCACCAGGATACACATTTGTATTGTAGGGTACGTGCCATTCTGCAGCCAGGAGGGATATCTGGAAATTCTTCCAATGGATGAAGGGCGGGGCAGGGAGGGTAAGCACTCAGCTGTCTAGTGTAAGAAGACACAAGTCTCCCAGTGCTGAACTTATGCAAAATACTTCAGGTTTGCTAGACATGGTGGCACAGGCCTGTAGTTTCAGCATTTGGGAGGCTGAGGCAGGAGGATTGCCTGGGTGAGACCTAACCTGGGTCCCGTTTCCTGATGGTGAGACACTTCTACACATCTGACAGTCCCTCCACTGCCCCCAGACACCAGGAAGTCAGCCCGGAGTCACAGGAGCAGGGGTTAGCAGAGGCTGCCCACAGGAAGGCAGGCACATTCCTGGTTCTGGACAAGTCCTGGGGCACAGGGGAGCAGACAGGGAGAGGGGAGGCGTTTCTTTCTGTCCCCCTCAGCATCCTGATGCCCCTAGCAGGGCTGGAGCTGGGAGGGTGTCTCCATGGCAGCAGGGACTGAAAAGGCAATGCAAGAGTGGACCACAGGAAATGACAGGTGCGGCAGATTAGACAGGCTGGCGACGACGACACGAAGGAGGCCCGTTAGGGTGATGCAGCTGGCTGCAGAATCAACGTTGGGCTTGAAAATCTCGCCCAACACACCTGGTCAGGCCTGCTGCAGATTTAACAGAGCGTGCGCCGTACCTGCCAACACCTGGGGCAGGTGCAGCTGCCCTGCAGAGGAGCCGGTCCCAGGCTGGGCAGCGGCCTCCTTTGTCTCTCGACCTTCTGCACACAGCCCCTCTGCCTGAAGTGGGCACCTGCCCTGACCCTGGCTCCTTCCCCATGGAGCAGAAACAGCGCCGCGCCTTCCGCTGTGACTCCCAGAAGTCAGGAGAGAGGTGCTCAGCCTCCATGCAAGACTTAAGAGGACACTAAAACCTCAGCAATCCAAGAAAAAAGTTTTTAAAGTTAACACAAAATGTCCACACAAGACGAAGTAATAGAATATAAAAAATGATTTAATACTGTGCCTGGCCATGCAGGAGCCAGCAGCAAAAGGACAATAGGAAATACCACAAATAAGAAAATAGGGAAAATCAGAAATAGTAATCCTGTCTTTAGTTACATTTTTGATATTTTTTTCTAAGTAGATTCGGGGCATTAATTTTGATTTTTAGACAAATCTGAGCTCTCTGGTGACTGAGATCTCTGATGACCCTCACGTTTTGTGCCTAGCCTCACCCTTTAGGGACTGGTGTCACAGGCATGGTGTCCACCTCAGAGAGGCTGGGCCTCAAGGGCTGGGCCAGGATGGAACCCAGACTTGAAAAGGAGGGGACTTTGTGGAGCAGAAGCAGGGGGGACTGAAGTTGAAGGGCAAGGGTACAGGAACAGGTGCAGAAGGGGCCAGAGGCCAGGGTCAGGCCCCTGGGGTCGTGCAGGGCATTCAGAAGGTGACTGCCAGCTTTTAAGCCAAGGGGGTGAATAGCACACTGTCCAGGTGCCAGGCTCTGCAGTACTGGACAAAAAGAAGCCCTGCCCTGTAGGAGCTGGCCTTTTAAGAGTGGGCAGCGAGCAGGCCCTTAGGGAGGACAGGACGCAGGGGAGGCCTGGATGTGCGGGAAAGGAGGCTCACAAAATCCACGAGAGCAGGGTGGCAGCCTCACAGCTGATCTGCGGCAGGCTCCAGCCCTCCCTGAGAACCTGGCCTGAAGACCTGAGGACAGCTGGTCACCACATGCCTGAGCACTGGGCATGCCTTACCGCAAGTCCTCACCACAGCCCTGAACAAGGGACCAGCATTGTCCTGTGTGACAGACACATCAGCAAGGTGACACCAAGTAAGCTAGGACACGGGCAAGCCTGGACTTCTCACTGAGCCGCCTGACTTTCCAGTCTGGGCTCCTAATGGATTCCTTCCACCCTGCCCAGCCCCTCCCTACTGTTCCTTAGAGACAAAAGCGCCAGATGGCAGAATTGGGGGTGGGGTGGGGCAGGTGGGAAAAAGACCAGGGATCTGAACAGTTACCCCAGGCTTCTGGCTTCCCTAGCCCCAGACCTCACTCCCTGCACTCTCTCCTCCGCTGCCCCTCAGCGCGGAGCAGTAGCACCCAGAGGGCTGTCTTTTGTATTCCCCTCCTGAGACCCTCTTGGGGCTTCCTGGGGCTGCCAAGTTCTAGAAGGATACCGTGCAACCTTAGTTGGTGGCCCCAAGAGCCCCTGGGAGCAAAAGTGACTTGGTTCTTGATCCTAGCAACTTGTGACACGCACGCCAGGAATGTCATGAGAGGGGCTGTAATAAGCTATCCAAAGTGATCGGCCCTTGAACGCGAGCCCCTGCCGCCAAATTAGTGGGAAATGAAAGGCGCCAGGGGGACAGGCATGTCCCACCGGGGGAGGAGGGAGGAAAAGATGATTACCCGATAGATTTTAGGGCTTTAATTGATTTGTATTTTCTAGGCTGCTAAGGAAGATTAAATCATGGTATGAAAAGCGCCTAGGGCTTAAAATAAATGAGGAGAAAGGCAAGTCATTTCAGAAATGTCCAGAAAGCAAACCAAACCTCTCCGCGGTGCAAACCGCAAGCTTGGTTACTGCATTCTTCGTTCAGGGCAGTCAGCTTCCCTTTATCCCTGGCTGCCTTCGCAGTCGAGTGTGACGTGGCCACCGGGCCCTGAGCGCTTTGAGGAAGCAATTCGGGGAGTGGGGAGACGCAGCCCTGGCTCGGCGTTGGAGGGTGTCTCTGGGCGGGGCCTGGGCACTCAGCTGCAGTCCTGGCTCGCCGCGGACTGCACGGTGACCCTGAACATGGTTCGGCCCCTTGCTGGGCCTCAGTCTGTGCATCTGTACAGTGAGCCGGGGCCCTGCCCGCTCTCCCGTCCTGCTGAGGCAAGAGGCCCAGAACGGACCATCCCGAGTCACTCGGCCAACTACCTGGGCATCTGGCCCCTGCGTTCTTATCCGATCCGTGGGACAAGGGCCCCGTGAGAGAGGCGACACCAGCAGTGGCCCTGGGACTGTCAAGACTGGCCAAGCGTCTTCGCTGACGCTTGCCCCCGGTATTGCGTAGAGGGGCTCCACACATCCCTCCACCCCCGCGTGGGGACCCACCCACCCTCACAGCCCGCCCCCATCCTCCCCGTTGTCTCTCCCAACCTGCTGCCACCCGGTCTTGGGGTGGCGCCCGCACCCCTCTTTACCCTGGGTCGTCCTGCAGCGGCCTCGGATCCGAGCGCCGGCCGCCGCGTGACTCCGTGGGTGTTCGGGCCAGAGGGGGAAGCCCTCCTCCGGACTAGGAGCCGCAGGGCAGGGGCGGGGCCGCCGCGGAGGGGCATTGGGTCTGATTGTGACTGCGGTGCCATAGCAACCCGGTCACGTGGCCGCCCTGCCCTGCCTACCCGGAGTTTGGGCCCAACAGTCCCGGGACACCGCTCCCTCGCCCCTCCAGTTCACTATCTTCATTTGAAAGTTGGGGAAACTGAGGCTCAGAAAGCCGTGTCATCGGGAATGTCTGTCCAAGAGGACCCTCTGATCCTGGAGGCCCAGCGGGGAGCAACCTGAAGGGCCAGGAAGGGATCCCGCTGTGGGGCTCAGCCAGGACTGGGAGGACGGAGGGGAGGACACGCCCAGGCCGGGGTGGGGGTGTGGTCCGGGGTGGGTGTGGCCCGGGACGGGGCGGGGCCCGGACGGGGCGGGGCCAGGTCGCACCCTGATGACGCGCCTGCGAGGCACCTTAGCAACGCGGTTGCTTAGATGCGGGGAAGGTCTGCAACATGGATGCGACCTCGGCTCCTCACCGCATCCCCGCAGAGATGCCCCAGTACGGGGAGGCGAACAACATTTTCGACTTGATGCAGGTGACCCGGGGCGCCTCCGCGTGGTGTCAGGGTGTGCAGCGAGGCAGCCCACCGTGTCACTGGGACCCGGAGGGGAACCCTGAAGTCGCTTTATGATCTTGCTGCCCCGCCCCGGGAGGCAGCGGGCAGGCCGCCTGGCCAGAAAGGGTACTGACTCTGCCTGACGCTGGCATGACGGGCTGGAACACCCGCTTCTCTTCCTCGGTGCCACCCCCTGTGAAATGCCGGCGGCCTCCCCAGGACACTTTCCCCACAGCCCAGTCTTGGCAGCTCCCAAGCCCTCAGTCTTGGTCCCAGGCGGTGTGACTTTAGCCAAATCCCTGTCCCCCTGTGTCCCAGCTGTCCCTTGTGCACCCACTGGAGGTTGAGGCTTTCCTGGACAGGGCTGTAGGTACTCTCTGGGCCTCTTAGGTTCTGAGGGGGAAGAAGCTGGAACTCAGTTTCCAGCATCCTGGTCTACTTCCCCGAGTACGCCCATGTCCGGGGGCACCTGACAGTGATACCTGTGTGATGTGACTTTGTGACCAGAGCTCTGCAGAGCTGAGCTCAGGCTAAGAAACTGGAGCTCCAGCAAACATGGTTCCTTTGGAAAGTGATAACCGCACTGAGTGGAAGAGCCCTAAAAGTGCTTGAGTGGCCAGTTGCAAATAAACTGAGTTGGGGGTGGACAGGGGAGCTTCCCAGGGGTAGTGGTCTGCTGAAGAGGACCTGCTGTTCAGGCTGGCCTTGGTCTTGTCATCCAGCCCCAGCTGGCTTCAAACACACAATCCTGCCAGAGCTTCTTGGTACCGAGATTACAGGCTTGTGCTACCACCCCTGGCTTCTCTTTACATTTTTAAACATTTTATTCTAAAATAATTTTATGCTCAGAGGCTACAAACATAATATGGCGTGCTAGTCTCCCAGTTCTCCAGGTTCTTGCAGCAGCGACATCTGGCACGAGATAATCGTCCACATCAGGAGAGCGATGTGGCACAGTTCTGTACCTAAACCGTGCTTACTTGGATTCCATCCTTTTACCCCTGCACTCATTTTTGTGACTGCTGCATAGATGGCTTTGTGGAAGTTTCACAGATGTAGAGATTCACATAGCCACTACCACGTTTCCATTCGAGCTTAATCATTTCTTGGCAGCAACCCACTTCATAAAAGTAGCTTCTTTTGGCCTCATCCTAAGCTTTGCATTTGGAGGTTTGATATACTTTTTTTCCTAGTGTACATTACATATGCAACTGCTCAGTCATGAGGAGGGAGTGTAAAATCACCTTGTAACATGGCCCCAGTGCACACAAAGATGGACTTAGTCCAGCCCTGCCACTGAACAAGTAGGGTCACTGAGGCCTCAAAGGAGAGCAGGGAGCTTGCTGGTGAGATTGGAGAGGGACCAGAACCAGGACTTCTCTGGGGCAGGGCTCTTCCTTCTGCCTTCCGCTCCCTCTGCCCTAGGTGGCTAAATCCCCCTCCGTGTGGCCCTCCAGCCCAGCCCTTCTCAGCGCTGCAGTTCATACTCCCACCAGCTGTTTTCCCTCTTCAAAAAGAATTAGCCCACGTTTGCAGTACGCAGTGGTCACGCTCGCCATGGGGAGCTGATACATGTCCCCTCTGCAGCTTAATTCTTTCCCATCTCTTGGTTCCTTCCAACTTGCTTCCTCCTGATAGGTTTGCTTAGTCAGATTAAATGGACGGAGCTTCCCAGGACTGTTTGGATATCTGGCTGATGATGTTCTGCCCCCTCTGGAGGGTCCCATGGCCACGTTCTCCTACTAACTTCTGCTCTGTGCACCAGCTATGATTGTGTCTAGGCCAACGTGAGGCCCACAGGACCTTTGATTTGCTTGGGGTGGGTAGTGGCAGTTGGGAAAGCAAGGACAATACAAGGCAAAGAACAGAGGGCACACGACGGGGGCGTGCAAAGGCATAGGACAGGTGGGCCATTTACCTACTGCTTGTGATCAGTAAGGCACTTTCCCCTGGAGAGCGGGGGTCCAGATGACAGCCACAAAAGGATGAAGAAGGTGCTGCCCAGGCTGAGGGAAGAGGCCCCAAGAGGACCAGTGCTGCAGGAGAACAGAGAGACCTACTGGCACCTTGAGGCTGCCTGCTCTAAGCTAGGGCAGGTGGGGCCTCCCCTGCAGTACCTACACGGCACCCGCATTCCTAAGCTCATGGAGACCCTAGCAGATGTCAGCTGTGGCAGGTGCTGGGTCCCAGGGAGAAGGCACCTTTGGTGGGGTGCAGTGGAGAGGCAGACCAATAGCTGACATCCACAGCCAGCAGGGGCAGGTGTTGACCACCTGGGTGCCTGTGCTGTGTCCGCAGAGCATGCTGGAGCAGCTCCTGATCCACCAGCCCGAGGATCCCATCCCTTTCATGATCGAGCACTTGCATCGGGACAACGATCATGGTGAGCTCACGGGTGGCCCTTCCTCCTCCTCTTCCTCCTCCCCTTCCTCCTCCCTCTCCCTTTCCTCTAAGATCCCATCCCACCCCCTGTCTTACCTGTGTCAGAGCAGGGTGGGGAGAGAGTTTGACAACTTGAAGTGGTTAATTGAAAAATGCCTTCATTTCTTTTGGAGCACAACTAATAAAAATTCTCTTGCCAAGTTATTAAAATGCAAACCTCAGAATGGCCCACAGAATCAATTATTCATGCTTCCGCCTGCCCTGGCTGATGTCGCCTGTTGGGTCTAAGCTCTCTGATCACTCTGCTTGTCAGGTGTAAGTTGGGTTTCTGGTCTACCTCGACAGGCAAGCACTTGGGCTTTTCTGATGGTCTCATTATCGTGGCTGCTAATGAGTTCCAGAGCTCCCCAAACCTCAGGTCGGCCAGACCCAAGGCCAGAGCACAAAACCAGGAGGAGGGAGGTGGGAGAAGGAGACACCAGAGCCAGCAGCCCCCTCGCCCTTGCTGCATCCCCAGATCGGTTGATTTACCAAGCGGAGGCTCATTCTGGTCCTGGGTGAGCTGGTTCAGCACTGGTATCTCGGGGTTTGACGTTTCTTCTGCTGGAGCTTTAGCTGCTTGAGGGCGCTATTGGCACACCAGTGAGCTGGTGCTTGGTGCTGCTGAGTGCGTGGAAACCAGAGATGCCTTCCAGTGGGGTTCAGACACCAGGTTGTTTAAGGGGAAAAGATGAGAACAAGGAAGCTGCAGACCTCTAGATGCTCCCAGCTGCCTGCCCTGGTGTAGGTCCTGGGGTCTTCGTCCTGACACTGGTGAATCACTTCACTGAGGGCTGCCTCAGTTCCTGGGCAACTGTATAGACCTACGCAGGGGGTTTTAGGTGAATCCCAAGAGTGCTCTTTTGTGAGTCTCCAGTTAGGCAGGAATGGGTGAGCCTGTGGGTATTTCATGGTCTGTGGGTATTTCATCCCAAGGAGGTGGAGCTATGACCCCGAGCAGGTGGAAGGTTCTGCCCCGACCTGCCCCGCAGGGCAACCATTAATGCCACCCTCCCTGTGGTGGTCCTCACTGCTGCAGACCCGAGCTCTACCGGAGGACTGAGGAGGAGGAAGTCTCTGCCTCCATCCTCTTTCCCAGCCTCAAACTGAGCCGGAGCCAGGGCTGCAGTCCACAAGCCCTGGCTCCTTCCTTAGCTGCCACCACAGCAGCTAAGGTGGATACAGAGAAGCGGAGGAACGGGAAGTGAACAAAGCAAAAGTTCCCATAAAGGGAAAGGGGAAGAGAAATATGAGCCAAGGCAAGCTGAAGCCAGTGAAGGGAGCAGGCCATGAGCTCACACTGAGCTTTAGGTCCTCCTGTCTTCAACTATGCAGACAGGGAGACCCAGGGACGCTCTGGGCCTCAGTTTCTCATTTGCAAAGTGGGTGTGTGCAGTGGACTGAAATGCAGGCCTCGAAGGCCTGGCCTACTCTGTGGTAGCCAGTCAGTCTTGTTTAAAAATCTTTTTATTAGTGCTTATTAACATCACAAGATGCTTGGTCTCAATGTGGTGTTTTCACACATGCATGTAACATATTTTGATCATATCCATTCCCCAGGTCTTCCCCAAAACAAATTGTGCTTGTAATGAATACTTGGGGTTCACGGGCCCTGTCTACTGTTGGCCTCCAGATCCTGCCTGGGGCACATGTGGGCCACCGTGTTTTTGTTTAATTTATTTGATTGTTTGTTTGAAGGCTGGCTTCAAACCTACAGTGATCTTCCAGCCTCAGCTAAGTGTTGAGATGCACACCACCATGTCAAGGTCTGCTCTACGTTCTTTTTTTTTTTTTTTTCTTTTTCTTTCTCTTTTTTCTTTTCTTTTTTTGTACAGGGGATGGAAATCACGCCCTCGCACTTGCCAGGCAAGCGCTTATGGCGCTGAGCTAAATCCTCGGCCTGCACTGTGTTAACTGCTGACCTCCAGGCTTCTTGCTTGGGCCTCAGCCTCGAAAAGCAAGAGCCTGAAATGTGCGACAGATTGTCTTCTCTTTCTGTCCCGATCTTGCTGCTTTGTCCGCAGATGGCGGTTTCAATGTCAAATCGCCCCCTGCACCAGGACAGTTCAGTTCGAACATCCTCTTTCAGCTTGGCGGCGCTGGCTCTGATGTTGGTGGACAGCTGCCTGCTCCCCACTGTGATGGTCCCTTTTGATACACAGGAGACAGGGCGCCGCAAAGCAGGCTGGGGAAATAAGCGGGAGCTGTCAATTCCCAGATCCCAGGACAGCGCCAAATAATTCTCAGGTCCCCGTATGTGGAATTCTCGAGGGCTCCCGCGAGATGTGAACGGCAGGAAAGAGAGCAGCGTTGGTGGGGAGCTCAGCCTTGTGACCCCTCCAGGGAGCCCAGCTGGCAGCTCCGGGATGCAGGTTGCACTTTTACTTTTGCTGTTACCCCTTCCTCTCTTCGTTTGGCCCAAGTTTTCTCTGCAGAGCTGGTTCTTCTCATGCCCCTCCCCCCTCATTTTTCAAATAAACTTTTGGCACCGTTTGTGGCTTTGTCTCGTCCAGTTCTTTGTTCGCGGCAAAAAGGACCTGGACTACCTCTGATCACAGTGGCGTTTTTTAAAGGAACTGCGGGACAACACTTTGCCACCTACTTCTGTGGCGAGAAAGTCCGTGTCACCCCCGCTCACCTGGCTGCTGCAGCGGCCACCTCCTGTCTGCTCCTGGCTGGCCGGAGCCGAGGTTTTTAGCCCACAGTCTTTGGGTCCCCATAAACGTTGTTTTGGGGGTGAATTTGTTCTGCAGTCCTCCAGCCCCACATGCAGGCCGGGCAGCCTCTCCAGCTGTTGGGACATCCTTGTGACTTGCTTTTGTGACTTTCCTGTGTGCAGAGAAACCTGTTTGCACCATCTCTTAGAGAGGCGAGTCCCGGAGACCCCCAGTATGGCCTGTGACAGCCAGCGAATGCTTCCACTGCCCTAGACTGCCTGGCCTGGCACATAGTGGTGGCCTGAGTTAACTGGAGCTGGGACCTCAACCCTTTGTGTCCTGGGTTCAGGGTTACACGAACCCACACCACCCTGGCCTCCGGACTCATCCCACCGGGAGCAAGCACAGGAGCAAGTGGAGGAGCCACAGCCCTGGGGCGGGCAGCCCCTTCCCCACGCAAAAAGCAGATTTAGTACAAAGTGAGCGTTTACAGTGGCCCTGGGCAGTATTAGAGCAGGCGGTGGTGGATATAATGGTGTGTTTCGTTTCTTATCAAACGTTTGTCCAGGAAAGCAGTGTATTAGAGCTCCAATACCTAAGGGTTTTCTTGTGAATTTTAAATCATGCTCCTGGTTAAACCTCAAAAGGCTCGGTGGATGGAAAGGTTCTTTGATTTCCTTTGAAGTGCTTGGAGGAAGTTGATTACTCTTGGCAGTCAAGCAGCCTCTTATGACACTGTTTATAAATAATTACTCATGAGCAGAGCTGGAGTTTCAAGGTGTTAGATTTTAAAAACTGAAATTAATCACATAAATGAGCAGGAGAAATTAGGTGGGGAGAAAGGCCAGGGATGTTCTTCTTTTAAAGCATTTTCAGAGATGTGTACAATTTGGGTGCCACTTACAGGAACCTGGAAGGGGAGGGCTTCCCCTGCCGCCTTTAGGGCCGTGGCTTTGCCAATGTGTGCATGGTGCTTGGGAGCTGGACTCAGTCCCAGAATGCTCGGTGTCTCCTATGGTCCTGAACCCCAACACTCCAAAGCCTGCTGGGCTGGGCCAGGTTCTGGGACCCAGTGAGGGCCTGTTTGAGTCCCTTGCCTGTGGTCAGGCAAGTATCTTCCCTGCAGTCTAAGCAAGCCCCCATTCCACAGCCCAAGGCCCCTGTCCCTTTCCCCACCCTCTCTGCTGCCCCTCCAGCCTGTGCCACCGCAGGCCAACCACACCTCATTCTCTTGCCTAGCCGAGCATCCCCAACGCCACCTGGTTTCCAGACTCAGCCTGCAAATCTGTTTTCCACCTGCTATGGCTTCTCTTTCTCAGGGGGGAGGTGCCAGGAAGGCCTGGGTCTGGAGTCCAGGCCAAGGGCAAACTTTGGCCCTGCATCTCCACCTGGCTTCTGCCCCAGAAGCTAGAAATGCCCTCCCGGCATCCGAGATGGGACCGGCCAGGCCTGCGACCTCAGCCGCCTCTGTTGGTGAACCTCGCCCTGGTGGAGAGCAGGGCGGGTACCTGGGTGGCAGCTCTGGGGTCCGTGCCATCGCTGTGTCACATGGCACGGTGGACACAGGCTGTGGTGTCTGGTACCCAGCATAGTCCTGCTCTTTCCCCAGATGATTCCGTGGTGACACCTGAGGTGTCATTTCTGCTGGGGTTCTGCTGGGGAACCAGTGAAGGCCTGTTTGAGTCCCTTGTGGGCCCCCAGGCCTGGCTCCCAGCCGGCTTGGGACTTTGCGATCCATGTTGGCCGTCAGGTCACTCAGCTGCACCCGACTTGGCCGCGGGTTCTGAGAATGCTGATCAGCAGAGGGCGCCCTGTGTAAGGTGACGACCACAGAGAGACACAGAGCCACTGCTTCTGGGTGTGGGGTGAGGGAGACTGATTCCAGCTGCCAGCTGCAGGGTGGAAAGCCCTATCTGGGAGCCAGCACAGACTCAGGGAAGGACAGCATGCCTGGGTGGCTGCTGCTTGCCTTGCGGCGAGGACATTCCTGATAGAGAACCAATGGGTGACCAGAGAAGGGTACAGGAGGGCACTATAGGAAGGATGAGAAAGTCCAGAGCTTCTCTACCCAAGGAGGAGACCCTTTGGGATCCCGGGTGACACTGCAGGCCCAGTTAGACGAGGCCCCAGCAGCCCTCCTGCTTTGCTCGGCCGCTTCCAGCCCAGTAGGATCCCAAGTGGGTGCTCTGTGAGTGCAGATGGAGAGCACTGGGCATCATCTGGAGCTTGTCAGCGACTGCTTGGACAGGGTATAGATGTGCTGACCTCCTGCGTCCCCTTGGAGCTGGGCCAGGCCAGGAGTGGGCAGGGGGCGTGCGGCTCCCAGCTGCCGTCCCTTGGGCCGGTCCGTCTCCTTTTTAACCCTGCTCTGCCCTCCTGCTCTGGTTTCTGCCTGTGGTCTTTGCCCATCACAGTCCACTCCGCAGTGTGGTCACTGGCTTAGGTCTCTGGCAGCCGCCAGGACCATCCCAGAGCCAGACTTAAAGCCACAAATAAGCTGCCAGATTTTTTCATTTGCATAGAAATGCCCATATTCAAAAACAAAGATTTCCATATCGTGGGTTTTATAAATCTGGCTCATGTACTTGCAAGATTTTTTCTTTGTGTTTCTTTTCCATTACTTTGCTCTGCAAAATGATGGGGGCAATCCAGTTGGCTAACTAAACAGGCATAAATATGAAGGAAAAAAAGCATTGCGGGTCAATTTACATAAAATACAACTTTATTTGAGACAGGGTCCCTGAGACAAAATCTTTGTTTAAAATACTTCATGGTATTTGAAGCCCAGTGTTCTCGATATTTATTAGTTTGGCAAACAAGTTACTGCGTCCGGGTCCCCGCAGAGGTAGACAAATAAACCGTCTCGGTGATCGCTTACCTCTCTCTGCCCAGAACGCACTCCAAGGCGCGAGGGTCCCAGCCGCTGGGTGACGAATGGCCCTGTCACTGGCAGAAATGAAATCTGGGGAGGAGAGAAATAAATACGCCTAGACTGCCGCAGACAGAGGCGGCCGCTTTGTCTTACTGAGTGGTGACATTCAAATCTTTTTATTCTGCAGTGCCGAAGATCATAATATTAGGTCCGCCCGCCTCGGGGAAGACAACTATCGTAAGTGCGTGATATTAAATGTTGTAAAGCTGTGATATTTCATCTCCGCTCCGGCGGGCAGGCGCGCGTCTCCCCGGGAATTGTCAGCTAACCGAGCTGTTCCTTTCCTTTCTTCCTTTCCTCCTTTCCTTCTTATTTTCTTATTACAAACGACAGTGCACGTTCATAGGAAAAGCCTAGGACACACGAAAAAGCAGTTCCCCGGCCACCTGGAGAAAGGTGTTCCTTCTACACCCTGGGCTGCCCTTCCCGAGGGCTGCCCGGCCACAGGAACCGGACCCTTGCAGGCCTGTCTTATAGCCATGGTTCGAGGAGGAGGGGAGGAGGAGGGCTGGGTCCACACATTTCAGAGACGTTTGGTATGGAGCGTTAAGATTCAGTCTTAGATTTTTAATTAGGGCATATTTCAGCCAATCAGAAAAGCATAGACACTGTGTCCTCGGTTGTCATGTGCCCATTTCCCAGATTTGACATGCATTTGGCTATCTCTGTGTGCCTTCTTAGCTCTCTCTCCATTTTAAAGAAATGCATCTTGCAGACACTGAGACAGCCCGAGCAGAGACTCTTTCTGCAGCTGACAGTGAGCGCCAGCACGCACCTCCCCAGTGACAGAATCACGGGTGTGGACACTGTCATGAGCTGGTTACTGCCCACTGGCTGTCACCTTCCTCCGTGATGGGACAGCACAGCCTCCACCTGCTTTGCTCTCTGAGTTCGCCTCTAATTCTGTTGCTCTCTCGTCCATCTGTCCATCTGTCCATCAAGTCCTCTCTCCCTCAGTCAGGGTTTTTGGTGGAGTCCTGCAGCCCCAGGCTGTCAGCTTCTCCTTCTTTCTGTAGCAGCAGCCCTGAATGTCCCACCTTCACGCTTCGCTGTTAGAGATCAGGGCTTCCAGGCATTCGTGTTACCGGGGTGCTTTGGCAAATGCAGGTCCCGGCCCCAACAGAGGACTTCATCAGGATCTCCTGGGGCGGGCCCCAGAAAGCTGGCTGGAAGAGACTCCCCCAGGTAGTTCTGCCTTGGGGACCCCAGAGGACATTTGAGTCCCCAGTGGATTCATTTATTTGCTTGGTTGTTCAGGATGAGGGTCTCCTTTTGGCAAGGGGCTATTTTATTTATTATTATTATTGTTATTATTTTTAATACTGGAGATTCAACCCAGGGCCTTCACCCTGAGCTACATCCCCAGCCTTTTTGGCTTTTTAGTGGTGAGACAGGGACTCACTAAGTTGCTGAACTGCCCAAATTGGACTAGAACTTGTGACCCTCCTGCCTCAGCCTCCCAGGGTGCTAGCAGGCAGGTACTACCACACCTAGGCCAGCGGAGGGCGCTCCTGTCTTGTACCCTCAGGGCCGGCTTTGTGGCATTCCTGGTTCTGGTTCTTACACTGCTAGGAGCAGCTTGCTGGCAGAGCAGGTTCCAGGCACAAAGATGTTCTTACATCAAGTGCTAGTGTGACCAGAGCCATGGAATGTGTCTCCCTGGTCCTGGCGGCTGGCACTGGTGTTCGAGCTCAGGCCTTCTGGGGAATTCGCTGGTGTCACTCCCGAGCATGGCGTGGGGACACCAATTCTGATTTCACAATGTAAAGGCAAAATGTAATCAGACCCGAGCGGGGCTCTTTCCTGATCTTTTCCTGATGTGTCCCAGCCCAAGAAACAGGGAGCATTGGGTTCACCCCAGCCGGGGAACCGCCAGGGCCTCCGGAATCACGCCGGTGCTGAAATGGTCACCACGTCCTTAGATGCCGCGAGCCCTTTAGTGCGTTTATTCCTTCAGATTCAGCTCTCAGCTGCGGGCTGCACAGCAGTGGTCAGTGAAGCGCTGGTCAGCGTAGAGCTCCCGGCCTACACCCATAGGCCAGGCCACGCAAGCCCTGGTGTTTAGGAGGAAAATGAGCCGTGAGAGATTTACTGTCCCTCCCGCCCTCCCCTGCCTGGTGCAAACGTTCCTGTTAGGAACTCACACACAAAGCTTCGAAGGGCAGCTAGGGGGCAGCTTCCGGCCTGAGTGCAGCCACCCGTGTGTGCAAGGGCGACGCAGACGGGCAGGCTGGCGGGTGCTGTGTGGGTTCAGCGGCTCCCCCAGCCCCACAGACGCGAAGCCTCCTTGTGTCCAGCCTCGGCTGGGGGCTCGGGAGGACCTGGGCGTCTGGATGGAATTAGCGTTCACACTGTCACCCATTTCGCTAACATTTCCCTCTCCGCTTTCAGGCCATGTGGCTTTGTAAACACCTGAACACGAACCTCCTCACCAAGGGGAGCCTAATAAGAAAAGAATCCTCCTCTTTGGCTACGGAAGCCCAAAAGCTTTACCAGAGATTCAAGGTAGGATCAGCCCTGGGCGTAGGGAGGGGGACGGAGGGACCACGCTGCCCTGTCCCCCCGTCCGTGCCAGGGTGCACACTGTCCCTCTGCTCCCCTGGTTCCCTTTTCCAAGTAGGGGGGAGGCTGGCTCAGACACAGGCAGCATAGGGAGAAGCAGGCAGGGTGTGAAGGCGCCCGCCCGTGTCCTCACAGGGAGGGTTCTCACAGGCCAGGGGCGCTGCTTTGTCCCCGGAGTCTTTATGGTCCAGGTTGCTCTTTGACTTCTCGGGGTCAGCTGAGTAAAGGGGGTGGGGCCAGCGGAGGTCCCCAACCCACAGCGGGTGGCGCTGGTGGGGCTGTGCAAGCTGTGGGTTAAAGGGCCATTGTCCAGCTGTCTCCAGCATGGACAGCCCAGCCCTGACCCCGAGGGAAACCTAAGGTGTTTCCCTATCACTGCCTGGGTGCCTGCCCCTCCTTCCCACCTGTTCCCAAACCCTCCCAGCTCTGAGTCGGCAGAACACCCTCTAAAGGGAGATACAGGCTGGAGCACTTGCTTATTTGTTTATTTATGGCAGCACTGGGGATTGAACCTGTAACCTTTGCATTGAGCTACACCCCTAACCGGTTTTTAACTTCAGAGACAAGAGTCTCATTAAGTCAGTCAATTGCCCAGGCTGCTCTTGAACTTGGGAGCCTCCTGCCTCAGCCTCCCAAAGTGCCAGGACTACAAGCCTACACTGCTACATCCAGAAACATTGTTTTTGTTTTTTGTTCTTACTACCCAGGAACTCAAAGTGTTTCTTTAAAATTCTCTTTGGAGCCTAGAGTGTGCCCTTTCATGGCTCCCCGCTGAGGCCCAGGCTGCTTCCGTTTATGGGGAGGCAGGACAGTAGGGTTGGTGGGCGCTCAGTGTGCGCCGTGGCCCTGAGTGGACCGGGGTCCCAGCTCCTCGGCCTGCAGCTAGGTTCAGTGACTTGGTCTCTTACTTTGCCCTCGGTGCCTCTTCCCCTCTCTGTCCCCCTCGCCTGTGCTCTTGGGTGCAGTGACCGCCACTCTGTCCTGGCTCCTGTGCCCTGGGTTCCAGCCTCACACAGTGCATCTCCAAGTCCTCAGGACGGGTGGGATCCGGCGGGGCATCCCAGGCATGCACGGGGCGAAGTCTTCTCTGGAAGACAAGGGGATGACTTAGGGGAACCCCAGTCCACAGAAGGTGGTGCTCCCTTCGCAAGCTCAGTGCCCACTGCAGGGAATGACACCTAGGCAGCCCTGAGGCCTTGTGGAAGTCAGAGCTGCCTCGGCGTCTGGGGTGCTGACATGGATGGGAAAGGGGTCCCTGAGCCTGTTCCTGGGATGGGTGGGGCGGGCTCATTTCCAGGCCGCAGAGGCCCTGTGGGGATCAGGAAATTCCTGCCTGCCTTCATTACGCTAATTATCAGCAAGGTTCGGCCCCGTCCAAGTGTTTTCAGGGGTGCCTTGCTGGGGTTCCTGGTCCAGACACCAGGTGAGGGGAAGATGAAGCCAGAGGATGCCACCCAATCAAGGAGCCCACTGCTCTGAAGGGCCGGGCACGCGTGGCTCCAGGTGGGCAGGCTGGGCGGCTTGGGTAAACCATCTGCTCCTGTGAGTTCTCGAGGCTCCATCTGCAGGGGGCCCTCATCCTTCCGATGCCTCAGTTTCCCCTGCTTCTCTCGGCTCCGCCCCCGACTGAGTTCTCTCACCCTGCCGGTGCTCACAGGGCCTCTGGATCTCGGGCATCTCAGGTGCTTCCAGGGTTCCCCCAGGCACCCTCTGCGTGGCGAGCTCTGCTGTACGGTGCTGGGGCAGCCACGGCAGGAACAACAGAGAAACTGAGCCCAGGTCAGATGCGGGTCCCGACAAGCCCTCATTCAGTCCCCTCCTTGGTGGCCTGGTTGGTTTCGACCAATGCCCGACACCCATGAAGCCCTGGCTTCACTTTTTCTTGTGAAGCAGCGTAGCCGGATGTGGTGGCCCATACCTGTGATTCCAGCACTTGGAGGATGAGGCTGAGGCAGGAGGATCACAGAGAGTTCGAGGCCAGCCTGGGCTACAAAGTGAGTTCAAGGCCAGCCTGAACTGCAGAGTGAGACTCTGTGCCTGCTTCAAAAAGATTAAAAAGATTAAAAAAAAAAAAAAAAAAACCAGCAGCAGCAAGGATTCCTTGGCCCCATCATAGTAAAGCGATGCAGACCACGATCTGTTTCATCCAGAGAGCTGCAGCCATGGCTCCCCAGGCACTGAGCACACAGATGGTATGCCACATGCAAAAGTGGCCCTGGCTGCAAGCTCTGGCCACCCGTCCCCTGCGGTGTAGCCCTGGAAACCACCCGTTCACCCAGTCCCAGGAGCCGCCCACTGCGTCAGACCCCCAGGAAACAAACGGCCTCTCCCAGCGCTCCAGGAGTCCGGAGAGCGACCCCCTAACCGTCTGTCCAGGGTGGTCCAGGCTGGACCCCTAACTTGCAGCGTTCTTAGCCTTCATCCCTGCTGTCAGCTGAGGACCAGCCAGAGGAAGCCAGCGCTTCCTCCACCAGTGCAGGGAGAGATGTGTGCCCGGGTCAGCTGCTCGGGGTGACACCTCCCTTCTTGCTACTGGAGCGCGTCCCCTGGCCGCCTGCCCCCCTCGTCACCGCCACCACCTTGAGCTCTGCCTTCTTGGCCTGTGTGGGTCTCGTCTGGACGTCGGGTCTGTATCCCTGGCCCCAGAGACAAACACGATCGCAAACCTCGAAGACCACCAGTGGTCCTGAATATCCGGGCGGGGCTGCAGTCTGGAGACGGCGGGCTTGTGGCCCTGGTCCCCGAGTGACAGATGTCTCCTGTGGCAGCGCCGTTCCCAGCCTCCTCGCTCAGCCCATGTCTGACCTGCCTGCTTCTCCAGTCGAAGCCTCAGTGATGACGATGATGGTGACAATGGTGCTGCCGTGGCCAGGAGGCTGTGGCTGAGGTTGCTGGCTGGCGACGGACCCTTCGCCCTGCACAACTCGGTGGAGATGCTGACGCTGTGGCTCTTCCCACATGGGGTGAAAGCCGCCTCAGGGCGATCAGCAGGCCCAGACCCTGCTCGGACCCCAGACAGCACAGCTGCCGGCACCGCCCCCACCGTGGTGGCGCCTGCCAAGCCAGGTCCTGTTTTCCAGCACAAATGCCTCTGCAGGCCCCGGTGAGGTCCACGCTGATGGGCAGCAGGCGAGGACCAGGTGCCAGCTTCACTCTCAGGCACGGGCCCTGGGCTGTCATGGGCCTGACATTCCTGCTGCAGAGAGCTGGGTGTCACCCCATCTGAAGCCACCTAGCCTGAGGCAGTGAGCCTTGGTAACGCGTGAGCAGCGGGGGCGGCCTCTGCTCCTTTTGTCCAACTCTCAGGAGCAGGGCCAGGCAGCATTGTTGAAAAGCACTTCCCTGGCAATTCCAACCCCAGCCAGCGGACGCCCCAAGCCAGTCCCCACTCCTGGTTCCTCAGTGCAGTTAGGATTGGTGACACAGTTACCACCAAGTCAGAGGGAATCAAGTGCTAGAATCAAGTGTTGCATCAGAGCGGAGCGGCCTGTTTGTTGAGTGAATAAGTGACTTTAAAAAGGCTAGTGAGACACCTAGGAGCAGGTTTGCCTTCCTGAAGCTGGGTCCTTCCTGGCTTCACTTTCCATGCTCTTTTCAAATGTCAGATCTGCTCCAGTGCACGTGACCCTCTGTGCCTGGCTGTCTGGACTCTCACTGCCTTTAAGATCCAGATGAAAGGACCAGAATCCTCATCCGACCTCTGTCTGTGCACAGGAACCAGGAGCCCACAAAGAGCCACAGAAGCTCCATGTCGTAGTCAAGGATTGCAGGGGAATAGACTTAATACATAGGGTTTTATAATATCACCCAAGAGTCAGATGCACACACTGGAGACCCACAGGATCCAGCAGAGGGCCTGGGTCCCACAGCAGGGTCCTGCTCGAGTCCAGCTGGAGGCCTGGAGTCCACAGCAAATGTCGGGCAAGTCTGTCAAGGATCTGTGCTGGGAAGGCCCAAGGGTCAGGGTGGAAGGTGGAAAGTCTGCGCCAGCGGGGTGAAGGAGCTGTGCCAGAGGCTGAGGGATCCTCACGGGAGCCAGGAAGCGGTGCTCAAGCTCCCCCAAAAAGCCATCCTCAGATTCAGCTCCTCCAACAAGAGCAACCGAGTTCACATCAGGAAGCCAGTGGGACAGGCTTCTCCAGGAGAATGAACAGCACCACCCGTCCTCCGGTCTCCTTTTATGCTGTCGGCAGTGACCCTCAGGTGGGCTCCACACCCAGCACACACAGACTCAGTTCAGCGGGGGCTCCGAGTGGACCATCGGGCAGTCCACCACACCTTGCCTTCAGTCCTGCTCTGAACCCCGCACCGTCCTGTGGCTCAGGGAGGCACTGGGAGGAGGTGAACGAGCTGCCCCAGGCTCCAGGGCCATGGGTGGGGGGACCGGCCTGCTCTGGAGCTCTCCATGGAGGGCAGTTGCAGCCCTGATGGACCAGAGCCGTCTCCACGGCTCCATGCCCCCCGCCCCCGGGCCCTGAGGCCTCCCTCCAGGCTGCCCCCTCTGATCCCTTCTTTCCCAGCTCTCCCATTCCCTCCCTCGTGTCCCTCTCCCCGAAACCTCCTGCCTCTGCCTCCAGATCCCTGGAGCTGGTTGCTGCCAGCTCCTCGTCACCTGTGCTGACAACGCAGGTTGTCACAGAAGGGCTCTGGGCAGCCCTTGGGGCGGGTGACGAGGTGAGGGACACACCAGGCTGGCTCAGCTCTAACCCTCCCCGCTGCACTCCTGAAGCCCTGTGCTGTGGATCAAGGGGACACAGTGATGCGGTATCCCTGAGCGTGGAGCCTGGGGACAGCAGTGCAGGCTCAGGCCACTGCAGCATGAGGAATTTGGGCCCCTGGGGAGGAGCCACGCATGGAGCCACACGTGGGGCCTGAGGGTTGAGCTCTGGAGCTGGCACCTGGGCAGGCAGGGCCAGTGGGAAGAGGCCCAGGTCAGAGCCAAGGCAGCCAGCCTGCCTCCAGGGCAAGCGAGGGCTGGGCGTGCTGGGCCCCCCCAGGGGGCCAGGGCCAGCAGACACTTGCACTTGGGCCTGGCCTTTCCTGTGAGCAGGGGTGGCCTTTCTAGGGCTCTCCCCAGAGAGCCAGGCCTCACTTGGAGAGGGCTGGGCGGAGGATCGGCAGAGCTCGCACGGGGGCCTCTGGTTCCTGCTAAGACAGCTTGGCAGGGCCTGCAGAAGCGGCCCGGGAGCCCGCGCCGCCGCTGAAGTGACACATCAAAGCTGGCACCGAGACAGCACCGTGGCGGGGAGGCCCAGGATGGGCCGCGCTCAAAGCCACCAGCCTGTCCCCTGCCGTGTGGGCTGCGGGGGGCGCTGCACCCCGCCCAAGCTGCTGCCTTTCAACTCCTGTTCTCTGACTGCTTGGTCCCCCTGTCCCCACCTGGTCCCCGCTACGTCCCCCCCCTCCACCTGTTTGAATGCTGCCTCCTACTGCGTGTTGTCACAGAGGGAAGATGAGTCTTGGGAACAGGGCCTGGGGCGGAAACTGGCTCTGTCTGGGGACAGGAAGGGACATCAGGGGACAAGAAAGAACAAGAGGGAGAGGGTGGCTTCCTGTCACCACTCCACCCCTTTGCCAACCTCGGAAGTGTCCTGGGCACTAGGAGGAGACGGGCACCCATGGGAAGACGCCATCCATCTGCAGGTGCCTGGCGTGGCTGAGCCCATGGCTCCCAGGTGGGTCCCGCGCCCACCCGTACAGATCACAGCACTCAAAAGTGTGTTAGAGGTGCGGATTCTCAGCCCAGCCCAGACGGGGAGTGGGAACTCCCAGGAGGTCTTGGCATCAGGGCAGGATGTGGTGGGCCTCTGCCTCCCCGATCCAGGGTTCCCGGTGCATCATTCATTCTCTCCTTGTTTTTATTCTTCACTTCTGTTTTCTGCTTCTAGAAATTGTAGTGGCGCCGTAACTCTCAGTGGACATATTTGAAGTCCAGTCTCCAGCTGAGACCCTGCCCCTCATTCTCTCATTGTCTGCCCTTTTTCTTCTCTTTCTCGGGGTGAGGCTGGTTTTTGTTTGCTCACTCATCATGCGTGCAGAGTGGCTGCTGTGGCTCCGGTTCGTACACTCTCTCAGCCTTTGATTTGGCTGTTTCCATTTGCGCTGATGTCTTGAGCTGAAAAAAATGAAAGCTGGTTAGAACTGGGTTAGAGGCAGCTTTTGACTAAGTCACCGTGGTGAGGGGCAGGTTAAGCTGCCAGGCAGCCTGGGCTGATCTGGGTCCTCCACTGGAGCTGCAGGTAGAGCTCACCTACCTAAAGCATACAGGCTGAAGGACAAGAGGGTGACTCCTCAAAGGAAATTTGGGGAGATACATTACTGGAAGTGGGTACACACACACACACACACACACACACACACACACACACACAGAGAGAGAGAGAGAGAGAGAGAGAGAGAGAGAGAGAAACAGCAAAAACTACAGTATTGTTACTGATTTCTCCTGGAGAGGTGGATGACTCCTAATGAGATCAAGAAGCCCAAGGCCACTCAGCAGGCTGGAGCTGCAGCAGCTATCATGTAGCTAAGAGGTGGGAGGGCAGGACATGAGCCCTAATGCTGAGGGCGGGTCTCTTGTCCGCACAGGAAGGGCTGGACCAGAAGGCCCCACCATCCCAACAGGCCTTACTGTGGGAATGTGTTTTGTTTTTTCAGTCTGCTGTCAGTGATGCGGTTGGGGATGGAGTCAGGAAGGGGAGACATAGATAGGCCCAGGGTTCCTACCCCTAGGGGAAGGGTATAGGGTACAGTGGGGGTCCACGTGGTGATGACTACCCCAAAGCTGAGCCCTCCCAGCCCTGCTCTGGGGCTGATCGATATGATCCTCACCCTCTAGGCAGCCCATTCTGTGCATCTCCTTACAGATGGGGAGCCTGAGGCCAAGAGCATGGGGCTACTTGTCCAAGGCTGCTCCGCAGGCAGCCGGGACCTGGGCCATGAGTGTCTGAGCCACACCCCGGCAGCTGTCCTCCAAGGGCCTCCTGGTTCAGGCTTGTGCCGCTGAAGCATGTGCAAAACTCCTGTAGCAGGTCCTCTAGCCTCCAGGGCTGGGTCCCCCCAACACTGTGGACTCCAAGCATACCTCTCGCGTCTACCTGCAGACGCCCAGGTGCAGCCAGGGGTCTCAGTCAGTTTCATCTCCCTTGGGACAAAATCCCTGGAGCCCCCGACTTGAGGCAGGAGAGGCTGATTTGGGCTTATGCTGTCCCTGGTCAGCTGGCCCCGAGCAGGAGGGTGTGGCTGCAGGACCTGGTGGGCAGAACCCCTAACCTTAACCCTAACACCAAGTGGACTGTGATGCCCCCTCATGCAGGCGCCTTCCAGAAGCCCCACCCAGGGGCGCATGAGGCTCCTGGGGGCAGCTAGACACAAACCATGACACAGTGAGAGCGGGCAGCAGGCAGCTCCCTCCGGAGAAGCCAGGAGAGCCGAGGCTGCAGAGCTGAGTCCCTGTGGGGCCGGGTCTCCTCTGTGCCCCCCTCTCTGGAGGTGCCCTGCTCCTCTCTTCAATCCCCTCTCTCCTCTGGGCTTGCTGCACGTGAGGGGCCTGCTGGAGGGGCCAAGCCCGTGCCCGTCTGAGCTCCTGGTACAAACTCGGGCCCCAGAGACTGTGTTATCTTTCTTCCAGAAAGTCCCTGACATGCTGCTCATCCAGCTGGTTCAGGAGCGCCTGAGCGAAGTGGACTGCGTCAGGAAGGTGAGGCCCAGCCAGGTGCCCGCGGGGCGGGGGGTCCCTAACCAGGACCGCTGGGGCACGAGGGCATGTGTGTGCCTCTCCGAGGGTGGAGATGACCAGAGGCAAACAGAGAAGGTAAGGCGGACTAACAGGAGCCCGGGGTGGCCAAGGGCAGTCTGCGGGCTCAGACATCACCTGTGTGGGACGGAGGTAACTGTGGGGACAGGTGAGGCCACTGAGCGCACTGAGAGGGGTCACAGGCGAGCACCCCGTGGAAGGCCAGTTGCTGGCGTGGGGAGCGGGTGATAGAGCACCCAACGCTGAAGCACACAGGGCCTAACAGCGGTGGGGAGAGGTGACATTTCCAGCCCTTATTTCTTGAACAATGTCCAGCCGTGTTTCAGAGAAACCCAGTTCTGGTGTGTGGAGCCGCCCCAGGTACCCCAAGACCGATACAAGCAGCAGGTGGGGCCAGGAGTGCAGGGTGCAGTTACTGGGGACTTAGTTAGGGACAGGAGCGCTGTCTGGAAGCAGGAGGCAGGGGGCCTGAGCCCTGCAGCTGAGGGGCCCACACCGCGCTGCACCGCCGGGCTATGGCCGGAACAGTGCACTGCTCCCTCTCACGCTGCCCGCGGGCCCCACTGTGGGCATCAGTGGCCGGAGCGACGCACTCAGCTGCTTGTGGTATCGACTTGCCTGCCCCGTGGTGCTTGGAACGCTTGTCAGGGTCACCTGGCGGCCTGAGGGCAGTGGCAGCCACACTGGCTGCTGTGGTGTCCATGGAATCCCGGTGTGTCCACACGCACCCCAAGCTGTTCTCACCTGCCCTTGCTGCAGGGGCCCGAATGTGCCATCCTCTCCCCTCTGTCCTGTCTTCGCTTTCCATCTGCTGGCCAGATTTGATCGTTTGTGTAAGTCATCAGGCTCCTGGACTCTCTTCCCTCTCCATCTGACTGCTGGTCCCATTCAGTGAGTTTTGAATTTTGATCATGGTATCAGTCAGCTCTCAAAATGCATTTGGTTCGTTGGTTTGTTCATCTGTTTTTTGAGACAGGAGAGGCACAGGCCAGCCTCGAACTCAGGATCCTCCTGCCTCCAGTGAGGAGGGGGTGCCACCGTGTTCGGAGTCTTTGGGTCATGGGGCTCTGCCTTGAGGGGCTGAAGGTGTTTCTCAGGGGGCCTTGCTTGGTTCTCAAGAAAGAGATGCTGTGCAAGCCTAGTCCATCCCGCCCAGGCGCCTGGCTTTCCCCTCCCTCTCACCCAGCTCCCTCCGTGCCATCTGCCGTCCTGGTGACACAGCCGAGATCGGGCCACCCTGGGGCCTGCGCTGTGCTTTGGACTCTGGCCTCCAAAGCTGTGGTTTAGAGGAAGCCCTTTTCCAGCTCCAAGGTAGACTCATGCTGTTGCATTCTGGGCTTTGCTCCCTGGCATCTCCCCGTAGCTTCTCATTTGGGGGCCCCTTTGGGTCCCCTTTTTGGTCTTTGGCCAGGTAGCTGGGGTTTCTCTCACCCTCCTCTGCCCGTGCTTTCTGGGACTGCACTATGGGGAGGACTGGTGGCAGGAGGAAGAGGGGTGCAGTTCAATTCACAGCTCAGTTCTCTTGCGACTGAAGAGGAAGGCTCCCCACCTTGGGGTTCTGGGCACTTCCAGGCCCCTTGGTCCCTGCTGTGCCGCCACAGTGACAGCAAAGTGTCCAGAGCTGGAGTATGAGGAGACAGGAGAAACCCACAGATCCCCACGCGGGCCTCTGCCTGCCCGTACCTGGTGCCTGCATTGGGGGTTCGCCGGCCCGGAATGCTGCCTTGGGGGTGGTTAGAATTCTGCCTTGTGGCCTACTTCCTGTGTGCCCACTCCCGAGCTTTTCTGAGCCCCCACACAGCTTCCGATGTGTTGTGAGGCTGTGTGGCAGCTGCTGTCATGGGAGTGACCAGGCAGAGCTTGTGTGTGTGGGTGGGTGTGTGTGAGACACACGTGTACACATATGCAGGCCTGTGCTCTCCCTAGCAGCGCTAGAGATGAAACACCCAAGGGTGCTCAGCCATGAGCTGCACCCCCACCCTTTCTGTTCCTCACTTTGAGGCACAGTCTGAGTTGCCCCAGGTAACCTTGAACTTGCAATTCTCCTGTCTCAGCCTTCTTAGCAGCTAGGATCACAGCGTGCACTGCTATGTCCAGCTCTCTCTGTTAAAAACCAGGATGTGCAGGGTCTAGCAAGATTTCTGGGAGGCTCTCCGGGATGGCACCGTGTCCGAATCATGAGGGGGTGACAGAGATGCTGCTGTGTCTGGGTTCCAAGTGGGTCTGAGCGGCGCATCTTCCTCCAGAGCCCCAGCTTCGCCCAGCACAATGGGTCCCCTGCCCAGCCAGAGCGAGGGAGGACCCTGAGTACAGAGGCGCCCTGACGAGCATTCCCTAGAGGCTGAGCAGGGAATGGTCAGGTCGGGCTTTGCAGGCTCAGCTGTGGAAGTGGAAGCAGCCAGAGGAGGTAATGGAAGAAGCGGGGCTGTGCCCCATCAAACTTTACCCCCAAAATGGGAGCAGGTGAAGGGCGGGAGAGAGCACTGTGGAAGGAGTCCCAGCAGCCCGGGCAGCTCCGCCCACAGAGAGGACGTGGCTGTGGGGCGTTCTGTGACCCCCTCCTCAGGCCTCACCCCATCTCTAAGGTTGGGGTGCCTTCCTCAGTGACTCTGAGTGGACGGGACGGGAGCTGAGGTTCCTGGATAACCCAGAGCCAGCCTCAGGGTCTCGGCCCCCTCAGTCCTGGGACACCCAGAGAACCGCGCTGAGTTGGGCGGAGCGCAGAGATGCGCCTGCCGGCTGGGCTGTGGTGGCCTCTGCGCCCTGGTTAGGACCAATGCCGCATGGGCCCTCAGACGCAGGGCCCAGCTGGCCTGGCCTGCTTTGTCTCCGAGATTCCCCTCCCCCAGTGTCAGTAGGTCAGCAAGGTAGGTGTCAGGGAAGTGAAGGTGGTCCTGCCAACTTTCTCAGCAGATTTCCTGGGCTTGCCCTGGTGATCTAGAAGGGCCTCTCCCACACACATTAACTTCTAGAGGCCTTTGTGAGCATATTTAAGGCTTGATCTATACTCTTCTTGTATGGTGCTCCGGCAGTGTAGACAGAGTGAGAGATCAGGCACCCGGGCCCGGCCTATAGCCAGCACTGTCATTAAGGGGCCATTAATTTTTGAGGACCGAGAAGAGTCTTAATTACAGAATATCTACGCTGGATCCCTGACTTCAGACGGCTTCCTTTCTGGGAAAATCGTTCATAAGTCAGCTTTGTTCATAGGCCAGCCAGGCGAGCCTTACACAGTGAACCTGGGGCAGTCACGGCTCACATGTCATGGGTCAGGGACTTCCGTGTAGGGTGGGGTCGTATTATAATCAATCCTATTGATCACATGACTATTTATGTTATTTATCACCATGATTATTGTGATGATGGTGGCTACTGTCTGGCCACGTCTGATTGCAGGGCACCAACACTGCAGGAGAAGGCTGTGGTCACAGAGTTGGTGGGTATCACTGGCCGGCGTGAAGCATGGGTCATGGGCCGGGCTGATGCTGGCTCCAGGGCCTCATCTCGACTTTCTGCCCCCTGGAGGAGGCTGCAGTCCCCTCCCCTTGCTCATCGCTGCAGAATCTAGGGCTTGCAGAGGCCGTGGGCCTAGGGAGGCTCGCACAGCAGCCTCAGAATCCAGATTCAAACACAGCGCATTGTCCTTGTGTGGAGGCGTGGGCAGGGGGACAGTTTGTCTGGCGGCAGTGAGGCCTTCCCTGAGGCCTCTGTTTTCCCATCTGCAATATGACTCTGAAGTCCCTTCCAGCTGTGCAGGCCCGAGATTCTGATCATGTCCAAGCCACCGGTACCTGCAAGGAAAGGATTATCTCCTTCAATTTGTTTTAAAGTGTCTTCGAACCTTCGAGGGGCAGCCAGAACCTTTTTCATCTCTTCCCAGTGGAGACGGGGTTTCCAAGTGAGGGGTGAGCCTTATAATTATGTGCTTTGGTTGTTCAAAAGCAAAACAAACCTTCATCCAAAACAAACAAGCTTTTCTTGCTTTTAGGGAGAAAAATGACACATATGCATATTCATTTATATGGTAATTATTATTATTTAGCTACACAGGGAACTGGAATTGGTAATGTAGAGCACAGAAAGAAGGCAGGGAACAGCGTTCAGGGAAAAATAATGTAATCATAACCCATCAACATCCCGTAGTTAATGCTGATGGTTTTCTCTGGCTTTCTTTTTTATCTAATGCAATCTCTTTGAAGAATTGTTTTTTTGAAGTGACCATCAAATGCGTGAGAGAACAAGAAATTAGCAGTTTTCTCTGGAATTGTCACAAGGAGGTGGCACCGGTGGTGGGGACCTGCTGGAGAGCAGTGAGGGACAATTGAGGTCAGAGTGTGACCGGGGCTTCAGATCACATCTCAGGCAAAGGAAAGTGAGGAGATGAAGGCACACACTGGAGATTTGCAGGGTGGGGACCAAGGACAAGGACAGTCCCCATTTTATCTGGAGCCATCATGGGGCTCCATTTTATTGGGATTATCAAGAATCCCTTAGTTTTATTTGGCAACTATTCCCGGGTTGTTTCCCATCTTTTCTTCATGTTGCCATCTTTAAAATACGTGGGCATTTATTTCTTGAGCACAGTGCATTCGTGTGGCTCAGGTTGAGAAAGTCCCCGAGTTGGCATCCCCGGCCACCCGGCTCCCTTCCTCGGGGGCACCCATCCGTCAGAGGGTAACAGTATCATATCTGGAGAGGAGGTCACCTTTGTAGAACAAATGCGATCCCCGCAGGCTGCCCTCTTTCCCCAGCATCTTCAGAGCCCCCAGGGCTGGACAGGCCCCAGTCCTCCTTCCATCCTCCCGGCCCGGGCCCTCCACACCTGCTGCGCCCTCCGTCTTCCTCCGGGGCAGCCTGACCACCTTCTTGGACAGATGCTCTGGTGCATCCTACTGAGCCTCCCCACCTCCGATCTGTGTCCACTCCTTGCGCCATTTCCTCCC